TATACTGTTTTCTATAATGGTTGTACCAATTTACACCCACCAACAGTGTATAAAATTTCCCTTTTATCCACATATCCATCAACACTTATCTTTTGACTTTTTGATAATGGTCATCCTAATAGGTGGTACTTAATATCTCATTGTGGCTTTGATTTGCATTTCCCTGATGATTAGTGATGTTAAGCACTTTTTCACATACCTGTTTCACTGGCCATTCTTATTTTTTTGTGTGTGAAGAATTTAAGTGTTTTGCTCAGTTTTTCTTTGGTTACTTGTCTTCTTATTGAGTTGCAAGGGTTATTTTTATAAATTCCAGATAAACATTTCTTGTCAGGTACATTTGTTGTAAATATTTTTTCCCAGTTAGTGGCTTGTCTCTTATTCTCTTAAGCGTCATTTGATGAGAAGGAGGTTTTAATTTTCATGGCATTCATTCTATGAACATATTCTTTATAGCTGCTCTTGTTTTTGTGTTTCTTCTAAGATATCTTTGCCTACCCCAAGGGTGGAAAGACTTTCTCCTCTATTTTCTTGTAGAAGTTTTAGAGTTCTGGGTTATAGATTTAGGTCTATGATTCATTTCAAATTTTATGTATAATGTAATGGAGCGGTCAAAGTTCATCTTTTTTTCTATAATGATACACACTTTTGAAAACACTACCCATAAGTCCATTGAAGATCAATTGACTATATAGGTGTAGTCTATTTCTAGACTCTGTATTGTTCCATGGATTTAGATATCTTTTGATACTATTACTATACTTCATTAACTAATTCAGTTTTGTGATGTAAGCCTTACAATTAGGTAGTGTAAGTCTTCCAATATTTTTCGAAATTATTTTGGTAATTCTGGATTAATCGTAGTTCTATATAAATTTTAGAATCAATATAATAATTTCTAGACAAAATAGCCCCTGTGGTTTTATTGGAATTTCTTTGAATATATAGATAAATTTGGGAAAAGTGTATATCATAATATATTGAATCCTCCAACATGAACATATTTGTTATCTGTATTCCCAATTATTATAACTATCCACAATTTTGTAAATGGTATAATATTTTAAATTTCATTTCATGATTATTTAAAGCTAGTGCATAAACATACAACTTATTTTTATATATTGACCTATTGTACAACATTGCAAAACTTTAGCATTATTTCTAGCATCCTGATGTTATTTGATATTCATAGAGAGAGAATTTACTTTTGCTTCTGACATTGGCAAGGGATTATTATTCCCAGATCATCTTAGTACATTAAGAATTCATATGACTCAATCTAGGCTACAGTTCCTGAAAAGGTGATCAATTTTCAGTTTGACCTTTTTCTTAGGGTACAGTACTTTGAGGTTCCAATCCAAAACCTGAAGATCAAGGTAACTTCCCCTTGGTGGGTTGAATTCTAAGTTTTACTCTTACTTCTAGAACAAGCAGAGGTTGCTAGGACATAAACATCTAAAAATGTCAGGCTGTCTTCTCTGGATTTCTTTTTCTTGATCCTATAATTCTTCACTGCATTTTTAGATCTCCATTGCCTTCAAATAGATGCTTTTTACATTTTTCCAGGTCTGAATTATTCAGTCCACCATTACCAGAAACTTCCTATTTATTTATTTATTCAGTGAATTTATTTAAACTAAAAAAATCATACAGTTCAACCATTTCTCCAATTCCCCTCATACCGCCTCTGGCAACCACCAGTTTGTTCTCTGTATCTATGAGCTTAGATTTATTCTATTTCATTATTTTTTAAATTCCACGTATAAGAGAGACCATAGGATATTTGCCTTTTTCTGTCTGATTTATTTTACTTAGCATAATGCCCTTGAAGTCCATCCTTCTTGTCACAAATGGCAAGATTTCATTCTTTTTTATGACAATAATATTCCATTGTGTGTGTGTGTGTGTATATATATATATATATATATATATATATATATATATATAGCACAATTTCTTTATCCATTGTCATTTGATGGACATTCAGGTTGTTTCCATTACTTGACTATTGTAAATAATGCTGTATGGCATATAGGGGTCATATATATTTTTGAATTAGTGTTTTCAGTTTCTTCAGATAAATACTCAGAAATGGAATTGCTGGATTATATAGTAGTTCTACTTTTAATTTTTGGAGGAATATCCAGACTGTTTTCCATAGTGGTTGCACTAGTTTATATTCCCATCAACACTGCACAAGTGTTCTCTTTCCTCCACATTCTCACCAATGTTTGTTACTTCTAGTCTTTTTGGTAACAGTCATTGTAACAGCTGTGAGACGATGTCTCAATATGGTTTTGATTTCCATTTCCTGGATGATTAATGATGTAAAGCATCTTTTCATGTACCTGTTGGCCATCACTATGTCTTCTTTGGAAAAATGTCTATTCAGATCTTCTGCCCAATTTTATCTGGATGTTTTCTTACTTTTGAGTTGTATGAGTTCTTTATATGTTTTAGATAGTGGTCCCTTATCAGATATATTATTTGAAAATATTTTCTCCTATTGAGTAGGATGCCTTTTCATTTTGTTGCTGGTTTACTTTGCTGTGCAGAACCTTTTTAGTTTGATGTAGACCCACTTGTTTATTTTTGGTTTTGTTTTTGGTGTCAGACTCAAAAAATCATTGCCAAGACCTATGTCAAGGAACTTACTGTTTTCTTCTAGAAGTTTTATACTTTCAGGTCTTATGTTCAAGTCTAATGCATTTTGAGCTAATTTTTCTGTATGGTGTAAGATAATGATCCAATTTCATTCTTTTGCATGTGGCTGTCCAATTTTCCCAACATCGTTTATTGAAGAGGCTGTCCTTTCTCCATTGTATGTACTTGGCTCCTTTTCCGTAAGCCCATATGTGAGTTGGTTTAATTCCAGACCTTCTATTCAATTCCATTGATCTATGTGTCTGTTTTTATGCCAATACCATACTGTTTTAATTACTCTAGCTATCTAATATACAGTCATGTGGCACATAATAACTTTTCAGTAATGACAACCCATGTATACAACAGTGGTCTCATAAGATTAGTGGTACATAGCCTAGGTGTATAGTAGGCTAGACCATCTAAGTTTGTGTAAGTACACTGTATGATGTTTTCACAATAATGAAATTGCCTAACGATGCATTTCTCAGAACATATCTCAATCATTAAGCTTTTCATGACTAGTTTGAAATTGGGGAGTGTGATGCCTCTAGCTATATTCTTCTTTCTCAAGATTGCTTGCCTATTCCAGGATCTTTTATAATTCCATGCAAATTTTAATATTTTTGCTCTATTTGTGTGAAAAGGCCATTGGAATATTGATAGAGAATCTGTATATTGCTTTGTGTAATATGGACATTTTAACAATATTAATTCTTCCATTTCATAATTACAGAGTATCTTTCCATTTACCTGTGTCTTCTTCAATTTCTTTCATTAATGTCTTGGAGTTTTCAATATACTGCTCTTTCACCTCCTCAGTTAAATTTATCTTATTTTAATCTTTTTGATGCAATTGTAAGTGAGATTGTTTTAATTTCTCTTTCTGTCAATTATATTATTCAATTTATTATTTTAACTTTAATATTAGTAATTGTTCTGAATTACTATCCTATTACATTTGCCTTCTTTGAAGGATTATTGAAAAGTTTGAAGTAAAATGCTATATTAACATTTGTGAACTCTTTAAACAAATATTTCTAAATATGTATCTATTCTCAGTACTCTACCTTGTTACTATCAAGGGTTAATAAAGAAAGAAAGGGCTTCTGTTTAGCCTTAAATATGATCTTCAAAGTTATCATTTGCTGTCTCTTAGCTGTATTCATAAAAATGTATGAATTCATTTTATTTTTTCTCACTATCTACATATTCCATTTATTTTTGCACAACAGTTTAAAAATCTATAAGCATGGACTCGTCTTACGTAGTTTAGCAACCTCAAAACTAACTGAACTTAGCTTGGCTTTCAGCCTCCTCTTTGCTTGAGGCAGAAAGCTTAATTTTCCCATTCAGTAAGTTATAGATTGTTTTACACAGTCTTAATGTGAAAAACTCACACTCAATTATAGGTTTCTTCCTTTCCATTTTGTCTCCCCAGGGATTACAAAAGGCCAGTGAAATTATGTATTATTCAGGAATTGGAAGGAAGAAAGGTTTGGCCTCCCTTGAAGCATAAATCCTTGAATGGGCTTTTGATGAAGGCCTCAGTGTGTCCTGCATCTGCTGCACAGTCTGTGTCTCCTACAGTTTATGTTGCATTTACTGACAATATCCCTTCATCCCAAATCTTAGCCCTCTTTTCATCCACCAGTACTCTCTTGAACATGTCTACACTTATCCAGTATGTAGAAACTCTTGGATCTTTCATGCAGTAAGTTGCAGTGTGTAATATTTAGAAGCCACCTTCAGGTCTATTTACCTAGGAATATACTTCAACCATTGCTACTCTTAACTCACGAGGCTGGAAGGGCAACTGTACTCCACCCAGGCTATACACCCTGGGAAGTGAGGCACAATCCCTCTATGGTTTCTGTGATCTCACTATCTCTGGGACTTGGCCTAAAGTGGGGGAGAGAGCAGCAACCTTGCTCTGGAATACAGGCTCTCTTTCTACTTCTTTTCTCCTCCAAACTCTTTTACATAGCTTAGAATGTGCTTTTACTCTTCATTCAGCATAGGAAAAAATTAGCTTTCTTATAAGCAAGGATTCTTCCAAACTTTATTTTTTTAATAATATATGTTCATATTTCTTTGAAGGAAAAAACACCTTTCTCAAAAAGCCATCTCTTGCAGTTGAAAATGTTTAATTGAGATTATTGTTTCTTTTTTTTTGGTTATTTATATTCTATTTAGAAACTCAACAGACTTTTTGGGCTGAGTTATAATCTGCTGTTTCTCCTGATATAATAAATGCTACTGATTTAATAAATGGAAGGTCTAGGTGCAATGAAAAAAATATAGGAAAAATTACAGACTTTATTTAAATAACTGGAAATACACGTATAGTGAGAAAAAAATTGGATTTTAATAGAAATTATATAGATCCTTCAACAGAGTCCCATGGTTCTTTTATAGATGGCCTTTGATGATATCAATGATTTCATGATAAACTTGATGATATACATCTAATCCAAACAAAAAGTCTATATGATTGTAGTAAGAAATAGATTTATGGTAAATACGGTTTGTGATTTTAGAAAGTAAAATTTTAACATCTTCAGGATCAGCCAACAAGTCACTTTCACCATTCCAAATTGCAGTTGACACGTTCATTTTTGTCACATTGTACAATGGAGAAGTTGTCTAAATATAAATGAGTAAAGATAAGAATTTTCACAAGGAATGATACATATAAGATGCTATTTACTAAAGCTTTAAATTATGAACTAAAATATTGTTTAAAATAAGATGAATCTAAAATAATTATTACTACAAAGCAAAAAGCATGAAAGAATAGGTATTATAATTTTTACTTAGAAATAAGATGCAAATCAAACTAGATAGCTTTTTCTATATCAGATTACTCAGAAATTCCACAGGGGTAATTTTAGTTTTATTTATAAAACATGAAAGTATTTTAATAAGAATTTTATGTGGCTGTATAACTGTCAAGACATTTATCAATAAATAATAAATATTGGCAGTCAAGGTCAAATCTGATTTTATTGAATTTGATCCTTATAGTTTACTTTAGATTTTTACGCAAGCAAACCACATCAGGCATGGAGTTTGGCTGAGGCAGAAAAATATGATGGAAAAGCATAATTTTAAACTAGGCAAACTTGAGTTGTAATATTTCAAGACTTTTGACATTATACAACTTTTACCATCTTCACGTTAACTTCTACATTTTCCTCATTAGTCTATGTGTTTGACTATCTTCCCAAATACAAGAATAGTCTTAGGGTCAGGAGCTATATTATGCCTTTTATTTCTTATGTAAACAAGCACAGAATTATGCATATTACAAACATAATATTTTTCCTTTTGATGGATGATGAATTATTCTACTGTCAACTTCTCTCTGCTTACCCAAAATATTTATTGTTAAAATACATAGAAAACATGGAAAAGCAACATTGGTTGTGTCAACACAAAATAACCAATAATTATTCTATAGAAAAGAGAAATAGGGTGAATTTTACTTGAGCAAGAGTGAGGATTACAACCTAGAAAGAACTTAGAAAAGTCTTCCAGAGAAGCATGGTTTTCAGGAGAGTCTTCTATCTTTTTAGAACAAAGAACATACATTAAACATGCCCAGGATACACATTCATCAAAGTTTCAAAGAGGTATTCCATTGCAAATTAGCAGGTCAACATGACCCTGATGCCCTGTCTGGAAAGGGACTAATCTGAGCATTATTAATAGGGCATAGAAGAGGAAGTAAGCATTCTTATCATAAGAGCTAAGTAACCATTACTTTAATGGTTAAACATATGTACAATGTGTGTTTGATAGGCCACAAGTCAGGCTTTTTAGTTCAAGCTGAATCAATTTTGAACCTGAATAGTTACCCCATATACCTAACATGTGAAAATCTCTTGTCAGTTGGATGTGACAAAATGGATCCAAATCAACATGGTCTTCATCTGCTTGTCCTTCTCACACTTGTACTCTCAGGCTTTAGAGATGACCCTTTATCTGTAGCAAAAATCCTCTGATCTAGTTGGGAATACAGTTTTTAGTTTATACACAATCATATACCTGATTAAAATGAAGGAAGTTCAGAACAGGACTGCCCCAGTCAAAAGCTTTCAAGTGACTAGAATTAAAAAGCTGAAAGAAAAATTAAAAGATAAGACTACACTCATTTGTTCATTACAGTGGCAGCTGATACAAATAAGGTACACATTGCACACATATGCCCCCTTTGTCCTGGGTCTGCTGGTATATGTGTAGGTGGACTTTTTTGCTTCTCTCTTCCTTTGGATAGGGTAAGAAATGGAAGAGCTGGGAGGGCAGATAAGGGAATCTACAGGATATGATTCTGTCATCTTCATGTAAATGCACATCTCCCTGAGGTCTTTACTACCAAGGCCTGTGTGCTTGGGGTAACATTAGGCTTCCCGAGAGATCCTCAGCTTCATCAAAAGAGGTGAAGAAGTGTCCTGCACTAGGACTAAGATGACATTTCCCTACATACCTTTGCTTCAAACAACAGGGCTCAAGAGTGTCTCAGAAGCCACCCCCTGCTCCATCCCTTAACATTCAAGCCTCACCACCACTATCTGCTTTGAGTCTATCAGGTGTCATCTGATTATGTCTATTTTTTCCCCCTGATTATGTTTTCATCACAAGAAGGTTCAGACTCCCAGATTACTTGTCTTCCCTGGTACTCTAAATCTTATAAGGCTTCACCCATCCCCTATTCTTTCTCTCTCAACTCTCCCCAACTCCTAAAACTCTCTCTACCATCTGGAATTCCATCATCATTCTTTACCTTAAAATTCTTCTCTGAATGGCTCCCTCACCTTCTTGCTCTACTGACAATTTGATTTTCCCTGAGAACACTTCCTCCTCTGCAGCTCTTTCAGACAGCACTACTTTTTTCTTCTAAATACCAGGTATCACTGGACCTCGGGGTTGGATTATCTTCTTTGTTCCTCATACATTCTTCCAGACAACACTCACTTCCTCCTTCCTTAAACTCCAAGCTTTGAATCGTACATCATTCAATTACATCATCCACTGTCCTTTACTGCTGCTGTCATCTAATGAACTCCAGGTTGTACTGGTTAGTTCCTGCTCATTGTCTCTCTCTAAAACTATTCCAGCCTTGATTTTTAGTGATTTAATCCTTCCAACAGCTTGGCCTCTGAGTTCCTTGAACTACCCTCCTTCAGTGATTTTGTCCTGCACCCTATACCAGCCATTCACCCTGTGACTATACACTCTTTCATTACACAATCCCTCCATAATATATATATATTTAGGAATATTAGCCCTGAGCTAACATCCGCCACCTGTCCTCCTCTTTTTGCTGAGGAAGATTGGCCCTGAGCTAACATCTGTGCTCATCTTTATATGTGGGACTCCTGCCACAGCATGGCTTCATAAGCGGTGGATAGGTCCGTGCCTGGGATTTGAACCAGCAAACACCTGGTCCCTGAAGTAGAGCACAGGAACTTAATTGCTATGCCATCAGCTGAGCCCACTCCATATTTTATGCATCCTACTTTCTGAACATTATCTGTTGTCTTTCCAGCAATTCTCTCTAGTATATCAATTTCAAAAATCCTTCAGTTCTGTCAGAACCTTGAATTCATTCATCCTTTTAACTTTTTATTTCCTCGATGTTCTTTCTCCCTAGCATACCTACCTGAAATCCCACAATCAATCATTATAATTACATTTCCTCAACACCTCTCCACTTCTATTTCCTACTTGCTTCACAAAAAAACAACTCCAGAAACACCAAATTCTCTGCCTACTATATGCCTATACTAATGAAACTGAACAAAACTGGAGAAAAACTCAAGATTATGCTGATTGAATCCACTTTAAATTTATTTACACATCTCAGGACATTATTTTTGCTCAGACTCATGCCATAATTCCCTAATCTATTTTCTCTTCCATCCTTCTAAGTGATTATGTCATAGTTTCTCCTCTCCTCACTGGCCTCCATCTTCTCTCTCACCCATACTCTCTTTTTCTGAAATATGTTTCCTATTTTAATAAAAACATTGAAGCAATTGGAAGACATCTGAGTCGAAGACCTCTCTACATCAATATGATTAGCAGCAAATGAACTCATATATATATATTTTTTTCCTATTTGTTTCTTTGTATACATTATCTATGCACCTAGTTAGAGCTTCTCTTTTACTTGTTTACTAGATGCTATCTATCCCAGCTATCTACCCGTTTCTCTCCTACTTCATAAATTTTCCCCTCCCTACTAAGCCATTTTCACTAATATAATAAAATGTTCTTATTTCTATCATAGCATAGTTAAATAGATAGATAGATAGATAGATAGACAAAACTCCCTATTTCCCACCACAATATCTTTGCTTTCTTTGAACCAAAACTCCAGAGAAGATTTCTCACTATTTCCAATTTCTCTACCTCATCGTCTTTTTTAAAAATTATGGCAAAATATAATTAAAATCAAATTTACCATTTTAACCATTTACAGTGTTCAATTCAGTGACATTTGTGCACAATATTGTGCAACCATCATTCATTCTTTTTTTTCAGTTCACTCTAGTTAACCTTGTATCTCCACCCAGTGATGTAGTGGAGGTAGCTCAGATCAGCAAGAGCCAACTGAGGGCATCTCTTCCCAACTCTGTGTACAGTGGCATCACATTAGTAGCTTGAAATCAGCCATGGCCAGAATATTTCTTCTACAGAAACTGGCAAGTCCTACAACTCAAGCCTTTTCTCCACAAAGAGAGCCAGTTATTAAACATTTATCAGCACACCCTGCTTCTATCCTTCCACAGAAATGGTCCAAGGATATTTATGGCCTTGACATTTGTAAACCTGGTCAATTGTGAGAAATTTTCTTATGAGATTTTGACACAGTTGTTCATTCCTTCGTTCTTCAGACTTTTTCTTCACTTGGCTTCTAGAATACCGTTAATTTCTTGATCTTATTCATTTTTGACTCACTGCTCCTTTTTAGTTTCCTTGGAAGATTCAGCCTCTGCTGCTTGATCAATCTTTTCATGTCTCAGTGCTCAATCCTCTCTCCTATTCTCTATCTATACTCACTCTGTGCTCTCTTCCAGTCTCCTGGCTTTCATTGCCATCCATATTGAAAATATTTACCTTCTTTTAGAAGTCTCCTGTAAATTTTAGACTCCTATACCCAACTTCTTACTCAAATTCATCACTTAGATGTCTAAAACTTAAGATCTCCATAATAGAACATCTTATCTTTCCTCCAAAACACTCCACCATCAACCTCCCTGTCTCCTTTAATAGCAAATTCATCTTTTCATTGCTAGGCCAAAAACTTTAGGGTCATCCAAGATTCTCTCCTCTCTGACCCTTATAGAATCCATCATTAAATCTTGTTATTATCTTGTTGGCTCCATGTTCATTATATATAGATATTCAGAACATAACCATTTTCACCACCTCTAGTGGCAACACATCAGTGCAAGCCATCACCATTTCTTGTTTGGATTACAGCAGTAATATCTTAACTGTCTCACTGCTTCCACTCTTGTCCCACTACAGTCTACCTAATATAGCAGCCAAAGTATCCTTTTAAAAATGTAAATCATATCATGTCACCTCCCAGCTCAAAAACCTGCAGTGGCTACCCACTTCAGACAGAGTGAATGCCAAACCTGCATGATGGCACAAAGGTTCCTTTCTGACTCCTTATTACTTTTCTGCCCCTTTTCCTACAACTTTCTCCCTTAATGACTCCTTTTAGCCACACTCCCCTCTTAACTGTGCCTCTCAGAAATGCTCTGAACTAAGAGCATTGCATTAGCTATTCCTTCCATCTGGAATGCTCTTCTTCTAGATGTTCACATTGCAAACCTCCAAACATCCTTTAAATCTTTTCTCAAATGTCACCATCTCATTAAGGCTTTGGGCTGGCATCTGTATTCAAAAGTACAACCCATTACCCAGCATGCCCAATCCCTTTTCCCTGCTTCTCTTTCCTCTACTTTTTCACAGTTTCTATCCTCTCCTAAATTTTAAAATTTACTTATTTGCTGTGCTTATTGGTTATTGTCTATATAGCTAGTACTAGAATGTAAGCTTAATGAAGACAGGAATATTTATTTCATTCACTGATGAATACTATGAGCATAGAACTGTACAGGTCACATATGAGGTGGTCAATAAATATTGTTACAGTGGATGAATAAATGCAAAACTTGCTTAGATATTTTTGGTCTAGTTATAATTAGGAATAAACTAAACCTAAAGATGTTATAATAAAGATTTTTAATAATTTATCTCAAAACAACTTCTTAGTAGATTAAAACATTTTTCAAATGAGAAAGCCCTCAACTGATATCTTGATAGTACTCCAAGCTTATCTAGTGTTTATTAGCTTTAAAGAACACTCATAATCACTATCCTATTCAATTCTCATAATATTTTTGTTAGGTCAGAGAATTATTATCAATTCCATTTTAAAAATTGAGGAAGCTGAATTCATAAAGGTTAAATAAGCTGCTCAATGTCACACTGCCAGTAAGGTTCAGAGAAAGGATTTTAAGTCTGTTATTTTGATCACAAGCATAATATTCCTTCTACAATATCATCCCGGCCTTCGATGTTAAAATAATATTCACACTGGATTTTTTTCTTTATCAATATTCATTCAACAAATATTCTTGAATATCTACTATATGCCAAAAACTCTTGGCCTTGCAAATACAAAAATGAACAAAAATTCCTCATGGTCTGCAAGGAGTTCACAATTTAAAGAGGAGAAAGTGTAAAGACAAGGCATCAGGAGACCTGTGTTCTAGTCTTAGCCCTTTTTAAAGGAATAGCTTTGAATCTTTGGGCAAGTCAAATGATGAGCATGGCCTTGATGACCCCCAGTCTGTTCTGAATTAACGCTTTCTCATTTGAAACACAGATAATAATTACATTGTTTTGATCATTGCTTAGATTTAGAGGATCTAAGAGATCATGATATAAACACATACTATAAACTATAAAGAATTATACAAATATGCAATAATTTTATTTTATCCTTCTAAATTTATCATTCTATGGCAATGGTATGATCCCTAGAATGATGAGATAAACCATGAGCAGTATAAATAAAATTGTATTGAAATACACTTTAAAAGTTATACCTGACTCCAGTGGAGCATATTTTGAACAGATGTTCCTGCTGGGTTATGTGACATATATACATCCACACGACTCTGAGGGGTTAACAAAAATTATTTTTATACTTAACTCAACCAGAGAAAGCATTTTCTTTGATATTTATTGAACTAAAATAATTCCAAGGAAATTTAGAGTTAATTTTTAATAAATAACATTAGTATAAAAGAAACAAAATTATATTTTAATTAAACACATAAATGTACTTATTAAATGCATAAATTTTGCATTAATATAGAAGCTATTGTTGGATTTCTAAACTATGTGGTCCATTACCCCATACTGAAAACAATCAAAAGTGATGGAGCATACACACACATCTCTTTTGAAAGCACTAAAGAACTGACAGCATAGAAAGAAAATTACCAGGATAAATGAAAGAGAAAAAACAAAGAAGCCCAAAACAAACAGCAAAGCACTGAAGCCATTTTTTCCTTATGGTTATTTGCCAATCTCAGAGAACCGAAGTTTCATTTTGAGAACTCAGCTAGTTGAGGAAAACTAAAAGCAAAGCCCAGAGCCTGACAAGGGCAGTTAAAAGATTTTTAAAAAATCTTCTCCATGATAAACTGGGCTCCCATGTTCTACACTACTCAAAGTGAAGTTGCATCAAAAGTATAGCAGCCTTCACGTCAATCTGTGTAATCTAAGTTTTCATTGCCTATGTAGTCCCCGAGAACCTCAATCTGTGAAGAAGACATATAATGTCAATGTAATCCCTATTCAAATCTCAGAAAGCTATTTTAAGGATATCAACAAACCACTTCTAAAGTTTATGTGACGAGGCAAAAACCCAGAATAGCCAACACAATATTGAAGGGAAAAACAAAGATGGAGGCCTAATGTGACACAACTTCAAGACTTACTATAAAGCTATGGAAATGAAGACAATGTGGTAGTGGCAAAAGAATAGCTAAATAGATCAACGGAACAGAATAGAGAGCCCAGAAATAGACCCCAAAAATATAGTCAAGTGATCTTTGACAAAGTAGCAAAAGAAATGCAATAGAGAAATGATAGTCTCTTCAACAAATGTTGCTGGAACAATTAGATAGCCACATGAAAAAAAATGAATCTAGACACAGACCTTACATACATCACAAAAATTATCTCAAAGAGGAAGACAGAATTAAATATAAAACGTAAAACTGTAAACGTTCTATAAGATAACACAGGAAAAAACTTAGACGACCTCGACTGTGGTGATGACTTTTTAAATGCAACACCAAAGGCACAATCTGTGAAATAAATAATTGATAAGATGGACTTCATTAAAGTTAAGAACTTCTACTCTACAAAAGACAATACTAAGAGAATTAGAAAACAGGCCACAGTTGGGGAAAAAATATTTGCAAAAGACATCTGATAAAGGACTGTTAGCCAAAACATACAGAGAACTCTTGAAACTCAACAATAAGAAAATGAAGAACCTGATTAAAAAATGGGTCAAAGACCTTAACAAACACCTCACCAAAGAAGATATCCAGATGGCAAATAAGCATATGAAAAGATGCTCCACATCATATGTCATCAGAGGAATGAAGTGAAAACAATGAGATACAACTACATAGTATTAAAATGACAAAAATCCAAAACCCTGATAACACCAAATGCTGCCAAAGATTTGGAGCAACAGGAACTTTCTTTCATTGATGGTGGGGATGCAAAATGGTACAGCCACTTTGGAAGACATATTGGTGGTTTCTCAACAAACTAAGCATACCTTTACCTTACGATCCAGCAATCACACTCCTTAGTTTTTAGCCAAAGAAGCTGCAAACTTATGTTCACACAATAACCTGAACCCTGATGTTTATAGCACCTTTATTCATAATTCTCAAAACTTGAACCAAAATGCCCTTCAGTAGGTGAATGGATAAACTGTGGCACATCCAGACAACAGAATATTATTCAGCACTAAAATGAAATGACTATCAAGTCATGAAAAGACATGGATGAACCTTAAATGCATGTTACTAAGTGAAAGGAGCCAATCTGAAAGGGCTACAGATCATATGATTCCAACTATATGCATTCTGGAAAAGGCAAAACTGGCAACTGTAAAATAATCAGTGGTTGCCAGGAGCTAGGTGAGGAGGGATAATTGGCAGAACACAGAAGATTTTCAGGGCAGTGAAACTATCCTGTATTATACTACAATGGTGGATGCATGTCTTTATACATTAGTTAAATCTTATAGAATGCCAAACACCAAGAGTGAACCTTAATGTAAACTATGACCTTTGGGTAGTAACAAGATGCCATGTACATTCGTCAATTGTAACAAATGTAACACTCCTGTGAGGAATGTTGATAGTGAGGCAGACTCTGAATGTGAGCAGCAGGGATTTTATGGGAATTTTCTGTAATTTATGCTCAATTGTGCTTTGAATCAAAAACTACTCTAAAAACAAAGTCTATTTTTTTAATGAAGGCAAAATAAAGACTTTTTCAAATACAAGATCTTGGAAAATTCATTGCCAGAAGACATACTGTCTTTTGGGGTTTTTGCTGAGGAAGATTTGCTCTGAGATAACATTTATTGCCAATTTTCCACTTTTTTGCTGTGGAAGGGTCACCAAGTTAACAGCTGTTCCCAATCTTCCTCTTTTTTTGTGCATGAGCCACCATGACAGCATGGCCACTGACAGATGAGTGGTGTAGGTCTGTGCTGGGGAACCAAACCCAGGCTGCCCAAGTGAATCATGCTGAACTTAACCACTAGGCCACTGGGGCTAGCCCAAGACATGTCTTTTAAGAAATGATAAAGGAAATTCTTCAGGCTGAAAGGAGTGATCACAACAGGGAGTACAGATGTTAATAAGAAATGAACCTGCCTTAACAGGTAAATATATAGGTAAATAGGAAAGACTATTGACTTTTTAAAGTCTTAATATTAATGTTTTGTTAGATTTGTGACATGTTAGGTTATGGCATTGATTAAAAATATGTGACAATAGCAAAAAGTGCAAGAGATTAAAAAGAGTTAAATTATTGTAAAGCCCTTTCATTATTTAGGATGTGAATATAAACACTAATTTAATGTACATAATAATAACTTAGAGGACACATTCTGTAATTTATAAGGTAGTAATAAAGAGTATTTCTTAAGGCTGTAACAAAAAAGTTAATAGAGGAGATAAAATGGAATAATAAAAAGTATTTGAACAGAATATAGAAGAAGTCAAGAAATGTGGAATAAAAAGAACAACAACAGAACAAGTAAAAAGCAAACAGCAAGATGAGAGCCATACTCTAATCAATAATTATACAAAAATAAATTTACTAAATATTCCAATTAAAAAACAGAGATTGTCAGGATAGATTAAAAAAATGCTATGAATACCTTTTTTGAAGACATAAAAGGCAAGCTTTAAAATATCTCCAAGCAGGAACCAAAAAAAAAAAAAATTGATCCATCAGATTGAAACAAGAAATTAAAACTACTAATGAAAAACAAAATAAACAGAATTTAAATTCCCTTGAATGCATATAGATCAGACACAATTGAAGGGAGAATATCGAGGTCAGAAGAAATTATTCAGAAAGGAGCAAAGACAAAAATGGAAAATATAGATAAGTCAAGAGACAAATGAGAAAATGGAAAAAAATCTTTAACTAGAGTGCTGGAAGTAAAATGAGATGGAGGTAATACAAAAATAAAATGTTTGAGATATTTAAGGATGGATGAAAGATATTAATCCACAGATTCGAGAATCCCAACAGATACTTAGAAGGATAAATTTTTAAAAACCCACACGTAGAAATCTAATTGAAACGTCACAACACTAAAAACAAAATATAATCATAATAACAAGCAAAAAGAACAGATTATTATCAAAAAGAAAAGAAAGAAAAAACAACCTTTAGATTGAAAGCTAATGACATCATCAATAATAAAAGCCTGCAGTAATGAAAATTATATCTTTTCATGTACTAGAAAAAAGAAAAGTCAATCTAGAATTGTATAGTTATGAAAATATCTTTTTAAAAGGAGAGCAAAATCAAGTTATTTTTCGACAAGCAAAATCTGATTGAACCAGCCTCCAATAGACCTTCATTAAAGGAAATTCTCAAAGACTCACTGAAAGGAGAAGAAATGGAAAAAAGTGGTCAATATCTGGGTCTAAATGAACATTATCTATATAAATAATAATATGGGGTTATGTTTAAACATAAGACAGAATTAAAATACATTCTTTGGTGAAGCGTCTGTTAAGACCTTTGGCTCAATTTTTAATTAGGTCGTTTCTTTTCTCATTGTTGAGTTTGAAGCGTTCCTTGTATATTTTAAATAATAGTCCTTTATCTGATATGTCTTTTGCAAGTATTTTCTCTCAGTCTGCGGCCTATCTTCTCATTTTCTTGATATTGTCTTTTGCAGAGTAGAAGATCTTAATTTCAATGAAGTCCAGCTGATCAATTTATTTTATGAATTGTGCCTTTGGTGTTATATGTAAAAAGTCATCACACTACCCAATGATCTTTAGAAGCAGTTTGTAGATATCCATAAAATAACTTGCTGGAATTTTGATTGGGGCTGCTTTGAATCTACATGTCAAGTTGGTAAGAATGGATAGCTTGACAACATTGAGTCTTCCTATCCATGAACATGGTATATCTCTCCATTTATTTATAAATAATCAGAGTTTCATAGTTTTCCTCATATAGATCTTATTCATCTCTTGTTAGATTTATACCTAAGTATTTCATTTTAGGGGGTGTAATGTGAACAGCATTGTGTTCTTAATTTCAAATTCAACTTGCCCATTATTGGTATATAGAAAAGCAATTTGAAAAATGCAAAATGCAATTGATACTTGCATATTAACCCTGTATCCTGCAACCTTGCTATAGCTGCTTTTCAGTTCCAGGAGGTTTTTTGTTGTTGTTGATTCTTTCAAACATTCTACATAGATGATCATATCATGTTGTCTGAGAATGAAGATAATTTTATGCCTCCCTTCTCAATCTGTGTAACTTTTTAAATTCCCTTTTCTTGCCTTATTTCACTATAAAGGGCTTCCAGTATAATGTTGAAAAGGAGTGACGAGATGGGACATCCTTGCCTTGTACCTGATCTTGGTGGGAAAGCTTCAAGTTTCTCACCATCAAGTATGATGTTAGCTGTAGGTTTTCCGTAGATATTCTTTATCAAGTTGAAGAAGTTTCCCTCTATTCCTAGTTTACTGGGGGGTTTTATCATGAATGAGTTTTGGATTTTTCAAATGCTTTTTCTATCTCTATTGATATGATCATGTGATTTTTCCTTTTAGCTTGTTAATGTGATGGATTACATTAATTGATTTTTGAATGTTGAACCAGCCTTGCATACCTAGGATTTTTTCCCCTATATTTTTACAAATTCTCTAGTTGTTTATGCTCAGAGGATTATTCAAGACTCTGTTACTCACTCATGACCAGAAGTGGAAAATCTCATAATGCAATTTTAATTATGTCACCTCTTTTAAGGTTCTTGCCATTTGAATACCTGGGGGCTTAAAAGAAAATTTCTTTTGTTTTTATGGCAATTCAGGGCACTTGAAACTGGCAACAATAAAGTTGTGACAGAATGATTTAAAATGGCCATACAGAACTTTTTAACAGATGCATTCTACAATTTAAACTTAGGTATTCATTGGATCATCTAATTATAATTCTTACTTGTTCTTGAAATCAGTGCCTATATAATGTTTATCCTGGATGGTGTATTCCAGCTATTCCTTGCATTAGAGTGACTTTGCTATTTACCCTAATGTGAGTTAGGGGCTTACTCAACCCAAAACACCTTGTCCTATTAATCTCTCCTGGATGGAGAAGCTTACTTACAAGTAGCTTTCATAAATATCCATGACACCTATCTATGAGTAATCTGAGATATTTATCAGAGTCTCTATTTTGACTTTATCAGATAGACAAGAAGGAATCCATTCACTAAAGGGACTCAAATCATAACTATAGACTCTTGATAACTGTATTTCATATATCTCAGGCTCAAATCTCTTTGTAAGTGCTAGAATTTATTTTTGTAAACCTTTTTCAAAGAATCATAAGAATTGGACAAGGTCAAAATTTTGGGTGGTTCAATGATACATTTTCCAAGTTACATTGGTGAGAGTTTTTGCCACCCGTTCTTCCTTGCGTCATACCTTTCTTTTCAGTTCTCTTATTTGGTTTTCCATGCCTGAGTGACATAGGTCTGATTCCACTCACTGCCTTTTTACAAACTGCAAGATTCTCTCTTGGCTTTTCATACTGTCTACAGGAAAGAAATTCCAAGTCAAACTCTACCTTCCCCACAGATCTTGATAGGTTCACAAGAGGACTGACTCAAACTGAACTAGGCTATAATTTTTAATGTTCCCATACACACTGTGTGTGAAATTGTTCCACTTCAAACTTTCCACAATCCCAGACAACTTAGGACACAACCATATTACAACCTATGTCACTGTCAAATTTTGTCCCATAAAGGAGAGTCACAAAGTTAAAGGCTGAGAAGTCAGAAAGTAAGCTTTTTTAATAGTTCACAAAAGAAAAGTTCTCAAAGACACCACAATATAATTACAGAAAATATAGCAATGTCCAAATATACTACAAAACATAAAATGAATGAATAAGACAAGCAAAAATAAAAATTATGTTTATGATTCTTCCAGTCATTCCTTGGTAGGTGTATAACACTAAATAGACAGAAAAATATGAGAAAGAAGATATTAAATTAGTATTTTCTACCTTCTATGACAGTAAAGTTGTTACACATTAGATAAAAGAACTGAGTTAATTTCTTCTATTATGAAGTGTTCTTTTCATATTTATTTAATTGTTTATATATCCCTCTGAGACTTGGTAAGACCTTTGTGAGGATGAATAAAATCAGCATATCCTTGTGGCATGAAAATGTGTTTGGGAATTAAGAGGACACTTCTCTTTCTTTGAATAAATAAATTGGTTCTCATTGAGAAGCTCTTAAAAGATTCAGGTGCAAGAACCAACCACTAGTCCAAATACCACAGCTGCTTCCATCAAATATGGAATTTTAGTTTAATGTGCTGAAAAAGTCTTAGAATGAATGCCTACATCTTTAAGAAAATCTATACACAATAAATCTAAATGGCCTTGGTAATAGTAGCTTGAGCATCAAAACAATTTCCCACTTGAGGAATTTTGATGAATGCCAGAGCATGTAATATAATTAGCAGGCACTAATTCTAATTATGAAAAGATCAACAAGAAGGGAAACCTGTGTTAGGAATCAGGAGATAAGAGGAGGAGTTTTGGGAAACAAGTGAATAGAAGACAATCTAAATACAAGAAACTTCAGGAAACTAACACTCAATAGCAAAGGCTAATAAAGATAACCATCACAGCAGCTGCTCTCTGTTCTTTACAGAGTAACACAAATATGGAAGCAAAGTAATCGCAGCATGCTGAGGGAAATTAGTTTCACAATGTTGGTACAGTCACAAAATCAGAAAGGGTAAGGATCTAACTACTAGTGTACACGGATAAATCATAAAATGACACATGAGGTATAAAATAATCACTATTAAGAGCTTCTATCTAAAAACTAGAAAATAGAATTCAAATACAACTTATTCTCACCATATTTAAATTCTTCAGATCATATCCAGTCATCATAAACAAGATATCATTGCAGATATTATCAAAAATCTTTAGGGAACACAGCTCCAACCCAACAAATCTATTAAATGATGTATTAGCTAAGAAGTCTTTGTTGCCAGAAAAAGCCTGCAAAATAAATTGAGTTTATCCATATTTTGAAGGTCAAAATAATTAATCAAGAGATGATGTGGTTTACTATGTTTACAACTAAATGTATCATCTTACAGTAGATTAAAACATTTAAATTGGGGCTGGCTCATGGCTGAGTGGTTAAGTTCACACGCTCTGCTTCCAGCAGCCCAGGGTTCACTGGTTCAGATCCTGGGCGCAGACCTACACACCGCTCATGAAGCCATGCTGTGGCGGCATCCCATATAGAAGAACTAGAATGACTTACAGCTAGGATATACAACTATGTACTGGGGCTTCGGGGAGAAAAAAAAAAGAGGAAGATTGGCAATAGACGTTAGCTCAGGGCCAATCTTCCTCAAGACCTTCCTCAAAAACAATAATAATAAATAAACACATAAAAGATTAAAAAACACTTAAATTGAGGACAGAACTTGGAAGCAGCATGTAGAGATGATTTGATGCTGGATTTTTCTCACAATGAGATGTCCAAAGGTATCATACTTAAAATCCTATTCCTTTGTAGAAACAAAGACAAGAATCCAGTGTAAATGAAGCCAAAAAATTCAATTCGTACACGTGCCCATGCAAACATAAGTCAAGACCTTTTATTTTTAAGGCACAGAATCATTGTCACTTTGGGTTATCAACCACGTAAAAGAAAGGAATAAAATACCTTGATCACTGACTTCAACTTGTATGCCATTTTAATTAAAGCACTTTTTGAGTATTTAATGGAAAAAACCGGTGCTAAAGCAAAAAATATTTTGATTCTTTCAGCTATCTTTGGCATTGTGGAAAATGTTATGAAACCTAAAAGAAAATAAGGTATAAATTATTCTTAAGCAATTACTAGCATGTAAGAAATGACACCATGGCAAATGACAGTAAGTTCAACAGGCTTTGAACAATTAATTTACTCATTAATTTCTTAATTCACTTATCAAACATTTATTGATCACCTAGTATGAGATATGTATATTGATCACGACACAATGCTGATTATTAGAATTAAAAACAAAAGTATAGACCATAGGAGGTGATAAGTTAGTAATAAATCAGTGTTGTAACACTGTAGTTTAAAAATCAGAAACAATACTGAACATTTGTATAACTGGCCATGGTGTAAACAAGGTTAAATGAATTTTTCAGATAGATGAATCATAAACTTTAAGATTCAGTAAGTGTCAAATTGTTTTAATATTTACTTTTAATATATTTTAAAACTTCCTTGCCTTCTTATACAGAGGATACTAAATATTAGTTATATGCTATTGATTGCTTAGAGTCATTGATATGACAAATACTAGTATTTCCCTTTTTTACTTCTTATTGAGCTATCTACTTGCACACCTTCTCTATTTTTATTGGTTCTTTTTTTTCCCCTGGGTTCTGAGAAGTCAAATAACCGAACAATTATAAAAGCATATTATGAGTTAATAAGCTCTGGTACATCACCCATTTATTTTCTTATTTAATAATTATCAGGGATTCCTGGTTCCAGATAATTGAACAGCTGATGAGAATTTGCACTAAACGTCACACACAGTTAATAAACATCAGAGAAAAAAACCTATGAAAAATGGGATTAGCTGTTATTCAAAACACTTTTTCTAGTGGGAAGTGGATTATTCCTATAAGAAAATGATACGCTTCAGTCTACAAAAAACTCATTTAATGTTGGCTTTTATTATAAAATGGCTTCTCACACCTTCAAAGTTGCAAGAATAAACAAGAAAGAGTAAACAGGTTTACTATACCATGTAAGAGAATTATTTTAGGGCTTAGGGAATTTTTTCCCAAAAGTAGAATGTTTATACATTAGATAGAGGCGTTAGTGTTGTCAGGTGAAAGTTCTTTACTAGTCATCTTTAAATATAGGAAGGCTTTCCTCATCTTTGTGCATTTCTTAAATTTAATCTGTCCTAAATGCAAAAACGTAGTCTTTTCAAGTCTCTCACTCATAAAGCTCCATGTTATATATTAAAAAGAAAAATAATTATGCAAGTTCTATTTGTGGAACAAGTGATTGTTATGATCCCACATTGATCTTAAGATGGATATCCAACTTTTATACATTGGAAACAAACAAAAGCACAAACAACCTTGCTTTTACTATCGATTATTTGTGCCTAGAGAAGATGCTGTGGAATGACATCAGGATGTGAACTTTCAGGGCTCTGCTTTGCTATGCTTGTCTCACAGTTCTGCTTTGTCTCACTTCTAGGTCTAGAAGGTTATTTACAACTTAATAAGTATATCTAAAAACTTTAAAAAGCATTAAGGAATATTAGCAACAATCTTTCTTGGCATACCAATAGTAGTGCCCTGTGAATGGCCTACATAAAATATTTCCTCCTGTCCGGTTTGCTTCACAATGAAATCGATGGAGGCTGGAAGGTCATATTTAGCCATCTCATCAAAACTACAAGAGAAAAAGGAAAATAAAAATGCACTTTCTACTAATGTTATATTAACATTTGAGGATAATGAATAGATAAATGAATAAATTCAATTTTCAACCCTCTTTGGGTATTATCAAGAAGTTATGTGGAATAACGTACCTATGTAATAGAGATTTATTTGGGAACACAAAGTCAAGGAAATAAAAAAGCCACAAGGCAGTCTTATAAAGAAGGTGTTTGTATATTCTAAGCACAGAGAGGTAGACTAAATATATGAGTTACAGAGTGAAAGAGGAGTTAAAGCAAAGGTGGGGTTAGTCAATAAACATTACTGCTGAAAATTGAGGAATAAGCTCAAAATCAAACAATCATTCTTTAATTTCCAAGCCAAAATTTGCATAAATTTTGATGGTCTATTGGAAGCCCTGAGTTGAGAAAAGAGACATATTTTATTTTATTTCATTCAGAAAGAAAAAAATGTTCAATACATTTATAAAATAAACTTGATTTTGTTTGTACCTGAAAGCCCAGAATTCTTTGGAATCTGTTTTTAGGTACAAGTGTTTCCTGGACCAGGTAGTCCCTCTACTGTTCCCCATCCACACATCATAACCAGCATCTGCCAAAATGAAGCCCAGGCTGTTGCTAGGAAGATTGGAAATCCAGCTGATGGCAGATGTCAGCAAACCATGTTGCAAGTATACAACAAGCCTCTGAACTGGAAAACAATACGCAGTCAATTTCTTTTTTAATTTTGTAGTATCTACATTAAAACCTCATCTGAAATTTAATCTTTTAACACATGGCAGTTTGAAGATTTAAAAAAATTGTATAAATAGGGTAAGTTACTAATGTTTCATCCCATTGTATGTGAGAGCTGTTTAACACAGTTCACTCATGGATTTCTTTCAAATGAACAAGTGGATAATTAGGTCATGTCCCACTTAAAAAAACTTTTTTAATTCAAATATCTAATATTAATTTGGGCACTCATGTACATTTTACATAACATATTATATAAAACACATTTGGTATGATTTTCCCACTTTTTCATTTCGCGAAATAATTATATAATCACATTTTTCACAGGCATAATCTTTATCAGTGTAATCATTAGAACCACTGTTTTAGCCACCTAACAGAGTTCACAGGGCCCTAATCTATACTTCCAACATCTTTGAGAAATAAAACCTTTTGAGTAACAAAAAGTGTGCTCACTAATACCTTCATTTTAAGCCCCAAGCCGCCATTCACATATTATCCACATTATTATCATCTACTGTAATGATACTATTGGTTCCCTGTATAGATCCCACTAACTAGGCTATTGTGTTAGCTGCTAACTATACACAGCTGTCCCTTTTCAGAAGACACACTCTTGGCATTCTTGGCTAAATGGGAGCTCCCACACTGGGTGAGGAGGGAGACAACCTATACTTTGACCAACTGACACAAAGGTACAAAAGTTTGACTCCCTTGCTTCAAGGTTGGACTAACTCTGACATAATTCATGTTTCATATCTCCCTAAGGGACCAGGCTGAAGCTAGACTCCACTTCAGACCACATCTTTGCTTGATTCCTCCTCTGCTCACTTCTGCTTCCCCCATTACCTTTTTCCTGAGATTCCCTCAAATCCCTGTCACATGCTCTGCTTCAAGGGACCTTGACCTAAGAGTTACTGATGAAGATTATTGTAGGCTGGTTACTGTTAAAAATTGCAGATGAGAAGGAGGCTCTAAGGAGTGGAATTTGCTTGCCCTTTGATGAGAGACATTTGCATTTGTGGAGGAAGTCTCCATCTGTGGGGGGTGTCTCCCTCTCTGCACCAGGAGGAAGGGGGGATGGCCTTATCTCTGGAAACTCTTAATGAGGAAGTCAAGGACTTAAGTTGTTTACTGTCTGGTAACCTCATGTAACTGACACCCCCCAACATCGTCCTTTGTCTTTAACTGAAGATAATATTTAAGGTGGTGGCTTCTGCCATTTACTTAATCCAGTTTGATTCTTATCTAAAAGTTATAGGACCACCCAATAACCAGACCCTACCAGCACTGATACCATTTTAACAACTCTTTTTACATATTCTTTCTTTTGTCTTGTAAAGAGATAACTCACATAGCTATGCCTTAAATTTAGCCCTACTCTCAACCCATGTTTGCAGCAGCAGCTCCTCCTGCCCATGACTCCCATCCCCATGCAGCAGAAGCTCCTCCTGCCCATGGGTCCTGTCCCCATGCAGCAGCAGCTCTGACTGCCCATGGGTCCTGTCCCCATGTTATTCCATACTATTCTCTAAATAAAACAGCACTACTGCCAGACCTTGAGAGTCCAATAAATCTTTCTTTCGACTCCTCGGCTCACTCACCCCGCATCATTACTACTAAAAGTGATTGAGGAAGCAGACATTTAAGGATGGGATCATGGAGTTGGATTACTTGCTGGTTGGCTGGAAATGAGGATCACATCATTGGTTATAGATGGAGTATTGAAAGAACTTTGCATGTTGTAGCACTCCAATGGCTAAAATACTCATGATTCCTGTGATGATATAGGAAAGGGATGACTGATTTGTACAATATCTCTGACAGTTAAGAGGTACAGAGGAAATATAATTATGAGGACTTGGAAATCAGGTAGCTGTTACTAAGTACCAATGGTGTTTTGAAGAGAGAAATTAAGAGGCTCAGGGCAAATCAATCACCAATTCAAAGCAAAGTGTGAAAGTCATAAGATGTCTTTGGCAGCATCTAAACACTTTCATCTCCTATAGCCAGAGGGAAAACTGAGGTGAAAATCATGGTCAGGACCTAACTGTAAGAATGGTAGAACTTCAGGAAGGTTGAATTCTCAGCTCTGGGAAGAACTCATGTGTTTTCAGAGCCTTTATAGGGAAGTAGGACTCTGAGACTTAAGATGAGGATATCCGGGTAGAACAGCTTCAGAACCTTGAAACCCAGATTTCCCTGAACTCACTGGGACTACAGAAGTCACCCGCTCCTCTTTGTTAGAGGATAATGGCTCCCTTACTTAGATAACTTTCAGAACAAAGCTTCCTCTCCTCAAGATCCACCCAATCCCTTCCTGGACACTCATTCAGTAACTATGATTAAATTCTAGCATGGCTTAACTGAAGAAGTGTTGGGCCTGCTGAGGGAAAGGAGAGATTACACACTAAAGGGGCTACAAAATCTGGCTAATATGTATGTAACAGCAGGAACTGGGAGAGTATGCCTGGGAGAGATCCTGAGGGTGTTGGATCAAAGCCTGGATAAGGATGAATTTGTTCATGTGGTAACGCATTCCTACGACACAGAATTTAACAGACTGGCAATGGTTCCAGAGGTCAGTCCTGACATTCTGCTATTTGTTTGAAGCTTAGAAAATTTCAGAATTGTAATAGCAGATTGTGGAGGAAATAATAAAAGGGCTCATCTGTAGGCATGCTAAATCTATTAAACAAGACCAGAATATCCACCAACTGACTAATATGCCCTGGGGGGGGCTTGGAGGATATTCCATTTACCAAATTAAAAAAAATACACTCACTGGTGAGGACACCAGAAGAATTTAAAAGCTCAGAAGTAGAGAATTTCCACTTCCTTTTTGGGATATATAGTAAGCCAGAAGAAGTATTGCTCCATTCTCACAATGATCTAAGTTCAAATTCATGACTTTTAAAAAACTCATCAGAAAGCTGATGTCACAGAGCAAAACTCTGATCCCAAGTCTGAGGAGAGACAGATGCTTGCAAGAAGAGAGGAAACACAATCAGAATAGTTTAGGTAGAATAACTGAAGAATTGGGGCCGGCCTGGTGGCAGAGCGGTTAAGTTCACACATTCCGCTTCTCGGCGGCCTGAGGTTCACCAGTTTGGATCCTGGGTGCGGACGTGGCACTGCTTGGCAAAAAGCCATGGTGTGGTAGGCATCCCACATATACAATAGAGGAATATGGGCATGGATGTTAGCTCAGGGCCAGTCCTCCTCAGCAAAAAGAGGAGGATTGGCAGTAGTTAGCTCAGGGCTAATCTTCCTCAAAAAAAAAAAAAAAAAGAATAACTGAAGAATTAGTGAAGGCCAGGTATAGGCTCCAAGGACAGTGTGAAGCCTCTGAGTTCAGTAGAAACTGGGAAGTCTATAGTCTGCAAATTCTTTCCCGGGAACCCAAAATGAACCTCAGAGAAAAGATTGGAAAGAGTTTTATGAAAGTGTCCATTCACATGCATATCTGTGAGAGAGAACAGCAGCCATACAGGAAGGACAAAATACTCTTCTCTGATTCTTTCCCCACCTTGCCTCCAGAACAATACTCAATCCATGTACATGGAGCGGAAGGGAGTAAGAAAGGCAACAAATACTACACAGAGTACACTAAACAACCAAGTGCATAGGATGACTCAACCAATAGATGTCAGCTGGGCACTGTTTTTGGCCACCCCAGTGCTTGTGCAGTGGGCTCACAAAAGGAGTATCCATGGTGGCAGGGACGTAGATTAAACACTGGTCCATCATTATGGGCCCCCTCGCCAAGGCAGATCTAGCTACTGCCAGGGCAATAAGTCTGACCTGCCAGCAAAACAGATCTCCTATGGTACCATCCCTCGAGGAGACCAAACCAGCCACTTGGAGACATGCTAGGTACATCACATGCTTTTTCTCCCAGAAAGGGCAACAATTCATTATGAGTAGGATTGATACACATTTCTGCTATGATTTGCCTTTCTTTCCAAATAGGACCACAGTTAGCACCTACTCAAGAGTTCACAGATTGTCTGATCTACCAACACGGAACCCCCTCATAACGTTACCTCAAATCAAGGAACCCACTTCACGTCAAAGAAGGTGCAGCTATTGGCAAATGACCACGGTACCTACACCCTAGCACATTACTACCATCATGAGGCTGCCAGCCTGATAGAGCAATGAAATAACACCTTGAAGGCTCAGTGGAGCTGCCAGCTGGAAGATGATATCCTGTAAATATAGGTGCTATCCTTCAAGATTCCTTATACACCCTAAACAAATGGCCATAATATATTTCTGATTCCTCCAATTACTAGAATACAAGGATCTTAGGAAAAAAGGGGTAGGATTAAGAGTGGCCCCACTCACTACCACTCCCAGTAACTCCCTCAGGGATTTGTGTTTTCTATCCTCACAATTTTAGGCTCTGTAGATATAGAGACCCTTGTTCTGAGAGAGAAAATGCTTCCACCAGCATCCTAATAAACTTAAAGCTATGACTGCTGCCTTGCCATTTTGGGCTCCTCGTGTTAGAAACAGGGAGGCAAAGAAAAGCATTACTATACAGGCAGCAGTAATTGGCTCTGATCATCATGAGGAGTAGGACTGCTGATACAGGGAATGAGAACAGGGAAAAATATATATAAATTCAGGTGATCCACAGGGGCATCTTTTGTTACTCCTATGCCCTATTTTAACTGTAAATGTACAAGTACAGCAACTATGACCTGCTCTGGATATAGTAGCTTTTAAGGATGAGGATTTGGCTTACAACACGAGACAAGCTAACTGAGAGGGAGGGGAATATACAATGGGTGGTGGAGGCAGGAATTTATGAGTATCAGTTATGGCTTTAGGATCAGTTGCAAAAGCAGATGTAATTTTGCTCCTCAAATCTTCCTCTGACCTACAAGAATCCTGGAAAAGCTGTACCTGGATGAAATAAACTTAATGTGAAAGACAAATGGATCTGAGTAGTGCAAGGGGTGTACTCTATTAGATTATTTTGGAGATGCATCCAGATTTCCTTTACTAAACAGACAACCATTCTCCCAGCTGTTGTGAGTGTTGCTTTTGAAGAGTTGCCTATTGTCCCTTTCTCTGTAGAATTGCCCCCAGCCAAATGGGAATTGCCTTACCCAGGAAATTACACTTCTTTCTAAGGGTAGCCTTCAGGCAGTGACTGAAGTGGGAATGCAAAAATCTAGCTCTCTAACTTGAGGGTGGGACCACCTCTGTGGTCCAGTTCATGGATTCAGGAGCTCTTCTGAGATCATATTGCAGCTGAGTCCTTCCTTAGCTCCTTCTCCTTCCCTTATCCTGATTTCCACGTTACTCTCTCCTGACAGTAGTCCATCAATAAATCACACACACCTGACTCCCTGCTAGTTAAGTGGCAGACCTAGGATTATAACCCTAGTGACAAATTCTGCTGCATTTTGCACCACACTCTGCTGATACAAATGTACCTATTGTTAGAATAAAGAGTCGTGAGGCTGCTAGCAACCTGATCTCTTTGTGATTATTAAAGAAGAGAGCCATAAAGACCAGTATGGAAATTTTTACCAGCCATTCTTCAAACCTACAGAATAGTGTTAGTGTGTTTCGGAGCATTTCTAAGCCCCTCATTAAACAAAGAAAATTCTAGAGAATCAACACGTATGAGCAAAGTGATCCACAAAGAAAATCTGGAAGGAACAACTTATGTTCCACCACACATTAAAACCACTCTGTGAACAGAAAGCTAGTGGAGAATCAGGTTCTCTTCCTGAGGCATGTGGAGAGATATACGAGAAACGACCTTCATCTTCAAATTCTTTTCTTCTCCTAAACTCACTGAGAAGAAATGGACAAGTTAAGAACTTCAGGCCCCAGACATTCACCAATTTATCTTGAACTGGGCATTACCTGAATTGTTATCATTGTTTATCTTCCCATAAGGAATTCTATAAAGGCCAAGGATATAACCATCTTCGGTTACAATATCATACTCTTCATCTGGGTAGCCCCAGTAGGAAATAATTTGGCTCTAGATAAAGAAAAAGCAAACCTTTTAGAATGATTATTGGTCAATTAAGTTGAATTGTTTGCCATTTCCAACCTAAAATGTAAAAATGAAGCTTTGTATTCTCTCTCAATCTCAGGCCTATTTTTATTTTCACTAATTTACTGATTCATTCAGTAATAAATATTGATAGAATAGCTACTAAGCGTCAGTCTTATACACTAGGGATTGACAGAAAAAGAAAACAAAAAATAAAACCCTGCCCTCAAAGAGATATCTCAAGAAGTAACCTAATAATTTTTTTCTAACTACTAATCACTCATAGTTTTACCTACTCACTCATATACAATTTTAAAATATATGTGTATCTATAAATTTTTGCAAGTTTATGCATATAACTATGCTGATATCTGAAATTTGTACATATGTGAGTGTATAGAAGAGAGAATTATAAACGAAGGTATGGACCTATTTATCTATCTATATATATTTTTTAATCACAGAGATAGAATAAGACTGAAGGGGAAACTGTGAGTTATGGAGTAGTAGTTGGGGAATATTAGTTGACCAATATCAAAATACATGAATGCAGAGATATAAATTTGCCTGTAGGTATGTTAAAATTAAAACATCCTAAAATTGAAGAGTAGCTTTCCCTTTATTTCAGCAGCTTAGCATTCATTACCTAGCAACTTACAATATTCATATTTGCTTCAGGGTTCACAGATCTTCGATATCGAAAGGCACCATGAGTAGTTCCAAAAATTAGGATGAAAGACAACACTTTGAAAAAGCACCACATTTTGGATCTACATATAAAAGGGAGATGTTAATACTACTAAAATTGGAGCAAGTAATACCATTTGACTGTTTAACTCTGTAAGATAGTGAATATTATAATTTTCAGATGAGAAAACTGAGTCTGAAAAATTAAATAACTTGTCTAAGGATACACAATGTACAATGGGCAGTCAGGATTCATATTTAAGCCTGCTTCCTTCCAAAGTCCTTGCTTTTCCAACTACTCTATTTTGTGGCACAAATTCCATCTTTGAAGTCTCTGTTATACTATTGTTTGGCCCAATTCTGAGAGCTTTATCATATTCTGCAAGTTAATTGATATCTGAACTAATGATGTAATAATATTCTTACCAGATTAACACTTACTTAAAGTATATTTAAAGGTTGTTGGGTTTGGGTGAGGGAACGGGTACAGGTGGGGAGATTAGGAAGTTTGCATAACAACTTTCATTCAGGCCTTTTGGGGTCTAGATTTTATTTTGTTTACAAAAATACGAGTTTGAGTATCCTAAATTCTGGGAAAGCAGGACACTTAAGCTCTTTCTAGAAACATAAGAGACTGGTGAACCATAGATCCTCCCCCAAAAAGCATGACTTGCAGATCTCATGAGCTTTGTACAATAAGACAGACACTATATGTGGAAGGACATTATGAGAGTTTATAAGACTCCCAGATCTACCACTCAAAAGCTACATGATTTAAAACAGGTTACTTAACCTCTCTGAGCATCAGTTTCCCTACTTATAATATGTGAATAATACCTACTTCTCAGGGTTGTTATAAAACTGAAATTTGACAAATGACGTTTAATGCTTTATTAGTATAATACCAGTTATATAGCTAACATAGTCCTCCATAACATACATAGTCCTCCTTGCTTAAGAGAACAAACTAGCAATTTAGGAAAATAATTTACATGCAAATAATCGGTATGTCTTTTGTTAATATGTGTTAGGCTAGTCTTCAGTGCAATGCTTTAATAACTTGGTACAAGTTATGTGAATCTGAAAGTTCTAAACTGCAATTATTTTTAAAAAATATTTTCTAATTTAAAGCTTTAATTTAGGTAAATAGACTTCTCCCTTTTGTCCTAAGTTTGTGTTATATTTTGTATACTATCTGTGCTTTTCATTGAAGGAAACAAGCAAATTTGAAAACAGTATTATTAATGTTTTCTACCAAAGAGGAGAGAAAAAGCCACAAATTTAAATGAGTAAGAAAAAACATTTATAAGATTTCTAGTCACAATCTAAGTATTCCTTTTTGGGTATGTCCCCAGAAAAGTGCAAGTCAGGTAGCAAGGCTACTTAGTTGTCTGTCCTCGTCATGTGGCTGCCATGACTTTCCAAGGATTTTTGTGTTTTTAGGATATTTTCTGTTGGAATATGGTTGTTCCTTTTTGTTGTATGTTGGAGGGGAGACAGTCCCAGGCAAGCTCACTCTGCCATGACACTGACATCACTTGAATATTGAGATATTTTCAGTGAATTTGATAAGGCGTTTCTACACAAAAGCCAAAAAAGAATCAACAAAATTAATTGTCTAAAATCAGAATTTAAGGTCCTACAAACATTTAAGCTTTTTAAACAGAATCTGAGCTTGTAAATTTAGACCCCTATAAAACTTCTTAGATTTTTGCACAAAAAAAAGAAAACTAGTTTTAGATGGTGAAATGCTAAACAAAAATTATTACACTTTGGGAATTTTGTTACAAAACAACAAAGAAATGTGTGAAAATGATATTTTACAAATAGTGAAGGATTTTTAATTAAGCCACAAAACAATTTACCAAACAAATAATACAAAAACTTTTTAAGAATATACACATTAATTGATTCAAAATTTGAAAGATCACATGTACTTTTCTTTAGTTTTAGATGAGTTGGTCAATAAAAGAGAATGAAATGAATACTTTGGGTATATTTTGTCTCAGAGGGCTTCCAGGTTTACACCGAAACGTTGTCATTTTTAAGAAAGGACTTTTAAAAAATCTGTAAAGAATCAAACTCATAGTGCAGATATTTTAAATCTTTTACATAACTTAAGGAATTTCAGCTAAATCTGAAAAAATTAGTTTCTATCACAATGAACAGTGCTCCAGCTATTTTATTTCAAAAGTCCAGATGTATTGGATTTTTTTCATATTTTTAATTTTTGAAAATTTATTGGCAATTCTATCACAAATACTCTTTTTTAAAATTTTTGATTGTGGCAAAATACACATAATAACACTTACAATCATAATTAATTTTTAGTGTAGAGTTCAGTACTATTGAGTATATTTACATTGTCATGCAGTCAATCTCCAGAAATTTTTTATACCCATTAAACAACTCCCTGTTTCTACCTCCTCCCAGCCCTTGGTAACCACCATTCTATTTTTCTCTTTCTGAGTTTGAAGCCTTCAGTTACCTCAAATAAGTGGAATCATACAGTAGTTGTCCTTTTCTGACTGGCTTATTTCACTTAGCATAAATGTCTTTAAGGTTCATCCTTGTTGTAGCCTGTGTCAGAACTTTTTTTCCCTTTTAAGGCTGAATCATATTCCATTGTATGTACATAGCACATTTTGTTTATCCACTCATTTGTCAATGGACATTTGGGTTGCCTCCACCTTTTAGCTATTGTGAATAGTGCTGCTGTGAATATAGGTATACAACTATTTGTTTGAATTCCTGCTTTCACTTCTTTTATATATATATATCCAGAAGTGAAATTGTTGGATAATATGGTAATCCTATTTTTTTAACTTCTTGGGGAACTGCCCTAGTGTTTTCCATAGTGGTTACACCATCTTGCTTTCCCACCAAGAGTGCACAGGAGTTCCAATTTCTCCATTTCTTGTCAATACTTGTTATTTTCTGTTTTGTTTCATTGTTCTTTTTCATTATGATAAAATATATATAACATAAAATTTGCCATTTTAACCTTTGTGTGTGTGTGTGAGGAGGATTGGCCCTAAGCTAACATCCATTACCAATCTTCCTCTTTTCGCTTGAGGAAGATTGTCACTGAGCTAACATCTGTGCCAATCTTCCTCTATTTTATATGTGGGATGCCACCACAGAACATCTTGATGAGCAGTGTGTAGCTCTGTGCCCAGGATCCAAACCTGTAAACCCTGAGCCTCTGATGTGGAGTGCACAAACTTAACCACCACGCCACCAGGTCAGTCCCCCATTTTAACCACTTTTAAGTGTACAATTCTGTGGCCCTAAGTACATTCACATTGTTGTGTATCCATCACCACCATTCATATCCAGACCTTTTTCATTCTCCTAAAATGAAACTCTGTACTCACTAAATGCTAACTCTCAATTTCCCCTTCCTCAAGCCCCTGGTAATCACCATTCTACTTTCTGTCTCTATGAATTTGACTACTCTAGGAAACTCATATAAGTGGAAACATATTTTCCCTTTTGTGATTTTCTTATTTTACTTAGTATAATGTTTAAGATTCATCCATGTTGTACCATGTGTAAGAATTTCCTTCCTTTTTAAGGCTAATATTCTATTGTATGTATATACAACATTTTGTTTACCTATTGATCTGTTGATGGACACTTAGATTGCTTCCATCTTTTGACTGTTCTGAATAATACTGGTTTAAAAATGGATGTACACATATCTGCTTGAATCCCTGCTTTCATTTCTTTTTGTGTATATACCCAGAAGTGGGATTAGTGAATCATATAGTCAGCTTGGGCTGCCATAACAAGATATCATAGACTGGGTAGCTTAAACAACAGACATTTACTTTCTCACAGGTCTGGAGACTAGAAGTCCATGATCAGGGTGCCAGCATGATCAGTTTCTGGTGAGAGCTATCTTCCTGACTTGCAGACAGCCACCTTCTTACTATGTCCTCACATGGCAGACAGAGAGAGCTCTCTCTTCCTCCTCTTATAAAGCCACTCCATCAAGAGGGTACCATCTTCTCTAACCTAACTGTAATGACCTCCCAGAGACCCCATCTCCAAATACCATCACATCTAGGATTAAGACTTTAACATATCAATTTTAGGGAGACTCAAAATTCAATCCATAACATACAGTAATTCTATCTTTAATCTTTTGAGGAATTGCCATAGACTTTTCCACAGTGGCTACACTATTTTACATATCCACCAGCAATGCACAAGGGTTCCAATTTCTCCACACCCACAATGACACTTGTTAATGTGTGTGTTTGTGTGTGTGTGTGTATATATATAACAGCCATCTTAATGGGTGTGAAGTGATATCTCATTGTGGTTTTGATTTGCATTTCCCTAATGACTAATGATGTTGAGCACCTTTTCATGTGCTTATTGGTCATTTGTATGTCTTCTTTGGAGAAATATCTAGTCAAGTCCTTTGCCCAATTTTTAATTGGGCTGCTTTTTTGTTGTTGGTGTTGAGTTTTAAGAGTTCTTTATATATTCTATATATCAGTTGGTTTCCAGATAGATGATTTGCAAATATGGTCTCCCATTCCATGGGTTGCCTTTCACTCTGGTAATAGTGCTGTTTGATACACAAAAGTTTTAATTTTGATGAAGTCCAACTTATCCATTTTTTTCTTTTGTTGTCTGTGCTTTTGGTGTCATATATAGGAAATCATTGCCAAATTCAATGTCATGAAGTTTTTCCCCTATGTTTTCTCCTAAGAGTTTCATAATTTTACCTCTTATGTCTTTAATACATTCTGAATTAATTTTTGTACATGGTGTAAGGTAAGGATCCAACCTCACTGTGTTGCACATGGATATCCAGTTTTCTCAGCACCTTTGGTTGAAAAGACTGTCCTTTCCCCAGTCAATGGTCTTGGTGCTCTTGTCAAAAATCACTTCACCATATATGTGGAGGTTTCTTTATAGCTGTCTATTCTATTCCATTTGTAGGTATCTTTATTTATGCCAGTACCACACTGTTTTGATTACTGTAGCTTTGTAGAAAGTTTTGAAATCAATAAGCATGAAACATCAACTTTGTTCTTTTTATCGTAATTTTTAACACAAGAGACTGATAGTTCTCTTATTGTTTCATTCCACTGTGTAATACAAATTGAAAAATATTTCTGCTCAGTTTTCTGAAGGAGACTTTATGAAAAGTGTCATGGATGCAGTTGTCAAAATCATTCAATATATATGTGCAAATGCTAAGAATCGTGACCAACTTTTGGAACTCTTGAAAGACATAGAAAACAATGAATCTTGTGTTCTTTGTCAGAGATCGTTTGTTGAGTCATGGAAGATTTTTAAAAGATTTATTGTATTGTTAACTCCAATTCAAGATTGTCTTGAAACAAAAGCAGTATTTGCCAAATACCCAATAATGAAAGACAAAAAATGGCAGTGTGACAAAGGTTTTTTTCATCAATATCATGTTGAAAGAAAAAGCTCATTTACTACCTTACTAAACAGGTACTACAAATTACATTTAAAAGGAAACTTTCATAATGCAAATCACTAATAATGATTTTACCCATTTTTCTAACATGAATCAATATGCAGATTTTTATTTCTTACCAATAGCATTATGTAGATTGGCTACAAAAACTACAAGAAAAATTGAAAGAACACTTTGTTGACATTGTAAAATTTACAATTGCTTTTCAATTCTAATTTGAATTAGATACAAATAATACTAAGTTAACATAAGCTTTCAAATATACTTAACTTTAAACTTTAAATATACTTTAATTTTATACTAATTTTTCAAGTTGATATGCTGCTTCAGAGAGAAATTAATTCTTCTTAGAAAATTGAAAAAATTTGTCAAAGTAGTTGGAAACATACAAGAAATATGATTTGTTGATAATTCATTCACTGAAAAACTCAAATACGTTTGGAACAATTTGGGTATGTGAAACTCCTCTTTTAAGTATAAATTTTATGAAAGCTAAATAAAGATTAAGTATGTCTGATAAAAAATATAGCCCCTGAATTGAGATGTTTTATAGGAGAAAAATACACACTGGATTTTAAAGGCTTAGTACTAAAAAATAAAAGAATGCAAAATATATCATTAATAATTTTTATAACGCTTACATGTTGAAATCATAATTGGAATATAATGGGTCACCATTTATTAAATGTATACAGGTGTCATAGAATTAGTCAGTGCCACTAAAATAAAATATTACTTCTACATGTAAACTTTGTACCTAATGCAGCAGATTATCATTATTACCTCAACTAAGATCATTCGTCATAATTTTCCATCACTGGTGTGTTGCAATGTTTAGGGACTAACTTTTATGAGATAATTAAAGATGAAAGTGACACAGAAAATTAAGTTTTATAAACAAGCACTAAAATTCTAGGTAGCTGAAATTTTAAATAATAACTTCTAAATATTATCACCCAGTTAGCAAAAGTACTTAAATGAATTATGAACATGCCAGCAAAAACTGCATTATTAATATCACCCATATATGACTAAATATAATTTCCTAAAAGCTGATTTGAGGATTATTTTTTGTCAGCTTCTGCCATTAAAATGATTAGTTTGACTCTAGATACAACCCACAACCATAAAAAAAATTATGCCCTACCTCTCCGCTCTTGTTGATTTTAGGTGCCTAATGTATGTATCTTCAAAGTAGTCAATGACAGATTGTGTTCCTTTTAGTAAAGGTTGCTAAATAGAGTCATAGGGAAGCTGAAAAACAAATATTGTTCTGAAAGAAAAATAAAATGAGAACATTTAACTTCAATGCAAAATCAAACCCAGTTTCCTATCATTTTTCAAGCCACTTTCCCATATGCTACTCCAAATACAACCATAGAAATTAGAATACATCCACAGAGATGTTAGTGGTAATTTTCCTCTAGTGTCAGCTAAAAAAATTAAAATTACTAAGACATGATTCTAACTTCCTTAAAATCCTTAAATAGATTTCTGTTCTTCTGCCTGGCAGCTACTGTAATAATAGTAATGAATAGTAAATACACAGTCTATAAATGGTTTAAAGCAGTTCAAATATAGAAGTAACAGTCTTAAAAGTATTTCTAGGTTTGGAAGATTTCTCCCTATGGAAAATGTGAACAAATGGGACTACATCAAACTAAAAAGCTTCTGCACAGCAAAGGAAACCATCAACAAAACGAAAAGACAACCTAACAACTGGGAGAAGATATTTGCAAACCATATATCAGATAAGGGGTTAATATCCAAAATATACAAAGAACTCATACAGCTCAACAACAAAAAAACCAACAATCCAATTAGAAAATGAGCAAAAGACCTGAACAGAGATTTCGCCAAAGAAGAGATACGGATGGCCAACAAGCATATGAAAAGATGCTCAACATCATTAGCTATTAGGGAAATGCAAATCAAAACTACAATGAGGTATTACCTCACTCAGGTCAGAATGGCTATAATTAACAAGACAGGAAGCAACAAATATTGGAGAGGGTGTGGAGAGAAGGGAACCCTTGTTCACTGCTGGTGGCAGTGCAAACTGGTGCAGCCACTATGGAAAGCAGTATGGAGTATCCTCAGAAAATTAACGATAGATCTACCATATGATCCAGCTATTCCACTGCTGGGTATTTATCCAAAGAACTTGAAAACACAAAGGCATAAAGATACTTGCACCCCTATGTTCATTGCGGCATTATACACAATAGCCAAGACATGGAAGCAACCTAGGTGCCCATCAAGGGACGAATGGATAAAGAAGATGTGATATTTATACACGATGGACTACTACTCAGCCATAAGAAATGACGAAATCCGGCCATTTGTGACAATGTGGATGGACCTTGAGGGTATTATGCTGAGTGAAATAAGTCAGAGGGAGAAAGTCAAATACTATATGATCTCACTCATAATTAGAAGATAAAAATGACCAAAAAAACCACATAGCATTGGAGATTGGACTGGTGGTTACCATTGGGGAAGGGGGGAGGGCAAAAGGGGTGATTAGGCTCAAATGTGAGGGGATGCACTATAATTAGTGTTCGAGTGGTGAACATGATATAATGTATACAGAATTCGAAATATGATGTACATCCGAAAAAAATAAAAATTTAAAAAAAACAGAAAATGTGAGCAAGTGCTCTTTTTTTTGATGGAAAGTATAACATTGTCTGAAGGTGGGCTAAAATTATTTTAAAATGTATATTGTAAACCCTAGAGAAATTACTAAAAATGTTTTAAGAAGCATAAATAATAAGTTAATAAAGAAGATAAAATGGAATAATAGTAAATGCTCAATGAAACCCAGAGAAGTAAAAAAGTTATTTAAAATAAAATAAACAAAGGAGAATTAAACATGTTAGCAACATGGTAGATTTTAATTAAAAATATCCATATTCACTTTTTATGTGAATGGTCTAAATACCCTGGTTAAAGACAGAGATTGTCAAATTGGATTTTAAAAAAGCAAGACCCAACCTGTCTACAAGAAACTCACGTTACATACAGATATATAGATAGGTTAAAAGTTAAAAGGATGGAGCAAGACATACCAAAAGAAAGCTGGACTAACTATGTTAATTTCAAACAAAGCAGACTCAGAATAAGGACTATTATCACGGATAAAGAAGGAGATTACATAATGATATGGCGTCAATTCTCCAAGAAGTTACAAAATCCTAAATGTGTATGCAGCTAACAACAGAGACTTCAATATGTGAAGCAAAAACTGATAGATCTGAAAGGAGAAACAGTCAAATTCACAATTATATTTGGAATATATTTCAGCACTCCTTTTTCAGTGATTGGTGGAATGGATAGACAGAAAATCAGTAAGGGTATAGATGATCTGAAAAATATCAATCAACTTGACTTGACATTTGTAAAAAATTCTACACAGCAATAGCAGAATATACATTATTCTCAACCATACAAGGAACATTCACCAAGATTCTTGCCCATAAAACAGGCTTAAATATAAAAGAATAGAATTCATACAAAATTCTTAGGCCATAATAAAGTTAAACTAACACTCAATAATAAACAAGATCTCTAGAAAGTACCGAAATATTTGGAAATTACACAACACATTTCTAAATAACCCATAGGTCAAAGAAGACGGAAATTTTAAAAATATTTGAAATAACTGAATATGAAAATACATCATCAATATTTGTGAGATACAGCTAAGCAGTAGTTAGAAAGAAATTTATAGCAATAACTGCTTATGTAAGAAAATAAGAAAAGTGAGAAAATCAGTAACTGAAGTTTTACCTTAAAGAAACTAAAGGAAAAAGAGCTAACTAAACTTAAAGCGAGCATGAGGAAAAATAATGATAATGATTAGAACAGAAATCAATGAAAATAAAAGAAAGAAAAATAGAGAAACTCAACAAAGCAAAAAGCTGGTTCTTTAAAATGATCAACAAAATTAATAAAGTTTTAGCCTGGATGACCAAAAAAAAAGAAGATAAGACACAAATTATTAATGTCAGGAATGAAAGAAGTATCCTTGTTATTGATCCCACAGACATGAAAATAATATTAAAGGAATAATTCAAACAACACTATGTCCATAAACTTGAAAACTTAAATGAAATAGGATAATTCCTTAAAAGAAAAACTAACAAAACTCACCCAAGGGAAAAAAAGATAACCTGTATAGTCCTATATCTATTTTAAAAATTAAATTTATAGTACAAAACCTTCTGTTAGAAAACTCCAGACCCAGATGGTTTCACTGTCAAATTCCACCCAACGTTAAAGAACATAAAACCAATTCTGCACAATCTCTTCCAGAAAATTGAAAGGGAGGATATCCTTGCCAATTAATTTTATGAGTCACATTATGAAAGAAAAAAACTACTGACCAATATCCATCAGGAACATGGATTTCAAAATTCTCACCAAAATAAATCCAACAATACATAAAAAAATTAATACATCTCTATGGGGGTTCATCCCAGGAACACAAGACTGATTTAACATTCTAACATCAATTAATGTAATTTACCATATTAACAGGCTAAATAAAAAACATATCCCTATCTCAACAGATGCAGAAAAAGTGTTTCACTAAATTCATTATTTATTCATGATAAAACCTCTCAACAAACAATGAATAAAAAGATCTACAACTCACATGATACTTAGTGAGGGACTGAATGAGTTCTCCCTAAGTTTGGGAACAAGGCAAGGATGTCCTTTCTCACCACTCCTATCCAACATTTTACTAGAAGTCCTAGACAGTGAAATTAAGTAAGAACAAAAAATTAAAGGCATCCCTGATCATTTATGTATAAAATTTTAAAGAATCTATATACACTAAAAAAATCTCCTACAACTAATAAGTGAGCTTATAGTGTATAAAAGTAAACATAGAAAAGTCAGTAATAAACACTTCGAATTTGAAGTTTAAAAGATAACAATTACATTACTATTTTCCTCCTCCCCAAAATTAAGTACTTTGACCTAAATCTAACAGCCCAATCAAAAGGGATTGTCAGATTGGATAAAAAAGGAAAGCTACCCTCAAGAAATCCACTTTAAAGATAAAGGCAGAAAGACATTAAAAAGATATAAAATAATATAACATGCTAATACTAATCAAAAGAAAGCTATATAAATATCAGATAGTACATATTTTAGAGGAAAAAATATAACCAGGTGTAAGTAGTGTCATTTCATAACGATAAAGCAGTCAATTCAGTAAGAGTTTATCAACCTAAATGTTTATGTACCTAATAATAGAGATTTAAAATATAAGAAGCAAAAACTGATAGAGCTGCAAGAAGAAATAGCTAAATCCACAATTACAGTTGGAGATATCAATTTATAATTGATAGAGCACATACGCAGAAAATCAGTGAGGATATAGAAGATTTGAAAAACACATTCCCAATCAAAATCCCAGCAGGTATTTTTGTAAAAATTAATAAGCTGTTTCTAAATATTATACGGAAATGATAAGAACCTAGAATAGCCAAAATAATTTTTAAAAAGAAAAATGTAATTGGAATTCTATACTACCTGACTTCAAGACTTATTTATTATATTTATTATAAAGCTACAGGAATCAAGATGAAGTGGTGCTGGCATCAACAAGATAGATAAATAAAATGAAAAACATAAGAGATCTTTGTGACCTTGAATTAAGCAAATATTTCTTAGATATCATACCAAAAGCAGAAACCATATGAGAAAAAAATTAATAAGTTATGAACATCTGTACTTTGAAAAATGTTGTTAACAGCATGAATAGACAATTTACAGACTGGCAGAAAATATTTGCCAGTCACACACTTGACTTGTATCCAAAATATATAATGAGCTCTGAAAATTCAATAAGAAAACAAACTACCAATTTTGTAAATGAGTGCCCTGACTTGGTGAGCACCTTTATGACCATTATTTTGAATTTTATCAGGTTAATCACTTATCTTTGTTTCACTAAGATCTGTTTCTGGAGTTTTATCTTGTTCCTTTGTTTGGAATATATTCCTATGTTCCTTCATTTTCCTTGACCCTTTCTGTTGGTTTCTGTGCAGTAGATAAAACATCCACCCCTCCTAGTCTTGACAGAGTGGTCTTATGGAGGTGATGAACCTTGTCAATCAGCCTGGCCCGTGCTCCTGTCTGTCTCTCAGACCTTTGTGATTACCAAGCCAACTTCTTTGTTCTCAGTGTCCCCCAGTAGTTGAGACCATGCCAAGACCCATCACCATCCCAAATGGGAGAATCGAATTCAGCACCCAGAGAAAAGCCAGATGATCAGGCATCAAATGGGAAAATATGTAGTTAGGCCCCTTCGAGGGAGAAACTGGTAGGTGGGCATTTCTGCCTGCTCCCTCAGTGCTGAGACAGGGGTGGATAGCTGGTTAAGAGCTGCTTCCTTTTGCTCCAGTCCTGTGGGACTCCTGAGTAGAAAACACATTGGCTATCAGAGCTAGGGAGGCAGCCACAAAAGCTTGGGTTCCAAACCTGTATTCAAGCTCCTTCCAGGGAGATACTGGCAGCTTGGGGCAGGCGTGAGGGAGAATGTGGAGGAGGTGTCTGCTGGCTTGCTTGATCTCTGGGGAGGGTCTCAGTCAGCCTCTAGATGCTTGCTAAATTAGAAGCCTGACCCTCAGCAGCTTTTGAAGTATGCATATAGACTCCATTCAGGGAAAGGAGAACAATGCATGAACAAAGTGAGAATTTCAACAAAGAGAGAAAATGTTAAAAAGTACCAAACAGAAATCACAGAGCTGAAATACAAAAATGGATAGTCACACATGAAAGAGGGAAACTGGACCCCTATCTTACATCATACAGAAAAATCAACTCAAAATGGATTAAAGAATTGAACCTAAACCTGAAACTTTAAAACTCCTAAAATAAAACGCAGGGTGGTAGGCTCCTTGCCATCAGTCTTGGTGATGATTTTTTGGATTTGACACCAAAATCAAAGGCAACAAAAGCAAAAATAAACAAGTGAGACTACATCAAACTAAAAAGTTTCTCCATAGCAAAGGAAACCATCAACAAAATGAAAAGGCAACCTATGAAATGAGAGAAAATATTTGCAAATCAGATATCTGATACAGGGTTAATATCCAAAATATATAAGGAGCTCATACAACTCAACAGCAAAAAAACCCAAACAATCTGATAAGAAAATGGGCAGAGGATCTGAGTAGACATTTTTCCAAAGAATACACAACTAACAGATACAGGTACATCACTCACCATCAGGGAAGTGCATATTAAAACCACAAGTTATCAACTCACACCTGTTAGAATGGCTATGTCAAAAAGACAAGCGACAACAAATGCTGGCAAGGATGTGGAGAAAAGGGAACCCTTGTGCAGTGTTGGTGGGAATGTAAATTGGTATAGCCACTATGGAAAACAATATGGAGGGTCCTCAAAAAGTTAAAAATAGAACTAACATATGATCCAGCAATTCCACTTCTGGGGTAAATATCCAAAAGAAATGAAATCACTATCTTGAAGAGATATCTGCACCCCCATGCTCGTTGCAGCATTATTCACAATAGCCAAGATGCGGAAATGAACTAAGTATCCATAAGTGGGTGAATAGATAAAAGGTTGTGATATATAAATATGTTTTATTCAGCCATTAAAAGAAAGAGGAAATCCTGCCATTTGTGATGTCACGGAAGGACCTTGAGGGCATTATTCTAAGTGAAATAAGTCGGACAGAGAAAGACAAATACTGTATGATCTCACTTATATATGGAATCTAAAACAGCCAAACTCATAAAAACGGAGACTAGAATGGTGGTTGTCAAGGCCTGAGGGGTGGGGAAATGCAGAGATGTTGGTCAAAGAGAACAAATTTCCAGTTATAAGACGAATAACTTCTGGGGATCTAATGTACATCATGGTAGTACTTGAAAGTTGCTTGGAGAATAGATCATAAATGTTCTGACCATTAAAACCAAATGGTAATTATGTGATGTGATGGAGATGTTAGCTAACCCTATGGTATTAATCATTTTGCAATATATCAGTATTATTAATATATTAAATCAACATGTACACCTTAAACTTACACAATATTATATATCAATTATATCTTAAAAAATTTCTAAAAAATATAATTGAAAATTATTTTTAATGATTTTCAGCTGGTTGTTCTATTGGGTTATTCTTCAGTTTTGTTGAAGGCAAAGAATTGGAAACCAACTAAATTGCAGGATGATTTGATCATTCACTTTGTCAGTACCAATTCCGATGTATGAAATTGTCTCTTGTTGGGAGGTCAGAAATTTTTACTCCCCAAAGTAATGCCCCATAGTAACATTACTGATAAAGGAGAGATAAGTCTTCCTTTTGTAAGGTTATTCAAGAGCAATTGTGAAAAGGAGGATGGGAAAGGAGAATCTGCTTGACTACAAAGGCTTTTACAGATATATTAGTAAAAAGTACCTTCAGCAGTTGAGGATGTGGAGTTTGGTTCCCTTGAAACTATAGCTGTCTCCCATTTAGAAAATCTTCATTAACTTGTGTGTACTCCAGTTTGAGGACTGCTGTTGTATCCAGTACTTCAATTCCTTTTACAATATCCCCCACTAAGCGTTCATCCAGTTTTGCTTGAAGGCTTCCCAATTGGAAAGCTACTTCCTAAGGAAATTCATTTCATTTTTAGTTGTATCTACTTAAAATTATTCCTGAAACATGTTCTTTGAGTTAAGCCAGAATCTACCTTCTTGTAGTTTTCATCAATTGATTAGTATACTGAAAATGTCCAATTATTTTCTGCCTTTAAGGTCTTTCCTATATTTGAAGATAGCTTTCATGTTCTCCCCAAGTGTCCTCTAAGCTAGACATCTCTTTACCTGCTCCAAGAAGATAATTTCAAGTCTGCTTACCATCCTGATCACCTTTCTTTGGAATGGCACCAGTTTCTGAATGATCCTTTTAAAATCTGAGATCCAGCATTCAACATAGTTAGTTTTCTACATGTGGTTTGGCCAGTCTAAATAGTGTGAGACTATCATGGCTTACGTTTATATTTACTTTTTGTCTTGGCAGCTCTATTATACTGTTAACTCATAATGAGCTTAGAGGCAACTAAAATTCTAAGCACTCTTTCCCTGATTCTGTAAAATTATTTTCTAGACACAGGGTAAGACTTTGAATATCCTTGTCTAATTTTCTTTTGGCTAAGTTTGTTTCAGTGACAGCCTGTTGAAATCTTTTAAAATCCTGATTTTAAAATAGTCCCATTTAGTATGGGGCTATTCATCTTGGTTTTATGCTGTCTAAAAACTGTTAGATCAATTTTATCCAAGTTATCTATCAATAACACTGTTAAGTGAGGACAGACAAAGCTGTGCATCACACTCATAGATATCCTTTGCTGACTGGCATGATATTTTATAGTATTAGTTATATTATACCATAAAAAAGCACCCTCTTGGAAAGGATATTTAATATTGATCACCCAACTGAATTACCCTTCAGCCTATCTTAATTTAAGTATTATCCTTGAAAGGCTTGTATACCTTCTAGGCAAACAGTGAACTCTGTCTCTGAAAATTCCAACTTTGATTCTAGTTGCCAGGGATACTGTATTGAATATGACAATGTTTCTACCCTCTTGGTGCTTAAATTCTAGCGGGAGAAAGATAATAAATAAACAATTAATAAGTAAACAGATAAAAAAGCAAGATAACATAAAACTTATTAAGTGATATGAATAAAATTAAACAGGTTAATGGGATAGAAAGTCACTAGGTGGCTGTTTTAGATTAAGTGGTTAGAGAATGCCTCCTCTGGGTGACTTTTAAGTTGGACTTGAATGATCAGAAGGAGCCAGCCTTGCAAAGATCAGGAGTAGGAAAGAAGTTAAGGAAAAAGGTCAAGGTAAGCAGGAAGAATAAATACGAGAGTAGGGAGCTATCCCAGCTATTTTGCAATCCTACTTTCTCTAGGTAGGTCATCTAGTTATCCTCACCTCTACCAGAAAGATACACTAGTGCCAGTAGCTAACCATGCACCCACTACCCTATAGTTATACCTCTGGACTAATATAACCCATTCTGGAGGGTGAGGGTCGGGGAGGGGTGGGTGGCTATACCACTTGCTAGAGACTAAGGTAATGAGAAATCATAAGCCACTACGACTACCTTTATTCAATGGTCACAACAATCCCGAATTCTCAATAACTTTTTAAAGAGCCTATGGTTGATCATAGGGGAAAAGAAAAATAGAGTGAAGAATTAATGCAATTTCACGACTACTGGAAACATAAGTCAAAAAAGTACACTCTATACTCAGAGACTAGCATAAGCAAAGGTTTACCACTTCCACACATAAGTGGAAAATCTGAGAATGTGTTCATGGCACATAATTCAATTTTGCTATAGCACAGGACATAAGAAGATCACCAAGATAAAATATAAACATAGGTTGGGGAAATTTCACTGAATACTTTTTATGCCAAGTAGATGAACTTGATTCTTTAAGAAACTGAAAGCCACTGAAAGTTTTTTTGAGGATGGTAGTGACTGATCTAGAAGCTCGCTGTGGGAGTAGGGAGAGCAGTTAGAAAGCTATTGTAATAATTCAGTTAAGAACTAACAATTGATTGAATGTAAGTAAGGAATAAATCTGTTGGTGATTACTTTTCAAAATACTAAATGTCTACAGTTGACAAGAATACAGTAAAACTTTAGTATATTGCTGGTGGAAGTGGAACTTGGACTTTTCTGGTGTATAATTTAATGGGATTGGCCAAAAGAGACAAGGGAAAAGAGATCAAAAAGACCAGAGGACTGATAGATATCGAGAATGAGAAAACAAGTTATTGAACATGATTATGAGGTTTCTGGACTGATTGCACAAGATGATCAGACCATTAACAGATATGAGAAAGCAGGTGATGGAAAAGAGCAGGAAAACAGACTCAAAAGGCTGTGAGGACCTGTCCTGGCTTCATCTTTGAGATACTGTGTGACCCTGGGCAAACTCACTTTAATTTAGTGACTTTATTTACAGACATAAAATGTTGGCAGCAGAGGGCTGTTGAAATAGATTACCTCAACTATCCTTTCCAGCTGGACAACCTGAGCTTTTAGGTTGTGGCTGTGAATCACATTATTTAAGCTTTTAATTTCAGAGAAATCTTTTAAATTAGACTATAAGCAATTTTAAGACAGAGACTTATTAGCTTATTCTGTCTACCATATAAGTTTTATTTTGTAACTAACAAATAAATAAAGCATTATAAATACATGGTCTTTATAAAACATTTGATAATAGAAGGATATAACTACATCTGCTTCCTCTCATATTTCTCTAATACTGCATATATATTTGTGTGTGTGTGTGTGTTTATGAAAATCTGGGATTGTACTATAGTTTTGTAGCCCGTTTTTCAGCATTACAGACTGACTCATTTCCTGTACGTCCTTATATATTCAAAATCATGTTTTTTAGTAGCTTTTAGATGGATGTAAGGATGGCCATAATCAATTGTTATTGATTGTATACTTTGATGTGTTGAGGTAAACACATTCATATGTAAATCTTAATGCATATCCGTCCCTTATTTTCCCAAGATAAATGTCTAGACCTGAAATGTCTAAAGAGCATAGTTTTAACGTATCTGATATATTTTCAAACTTTACTCCAGGAAACTTGTCCATTACACTCCCACCAGTAATACACTAAAGTGTGCGTTTTGCAGCATTCTTGCCAAATGTAGATTTTTAACATATTTAAAAAGCAATTCCAAACAAATGAAAAATGGCGTCTCATTTTAATTTGTATTTGAACATAGAAAAGTCAAACATTCTTCTATGTTTATTGTAATTTTGTATTTCTTTCTAGTCAAGAATTCTATTTAATCTATGAAGATTTACTTTTTCAATTTTGTCATTTAATTATGTCTTTAAGATTTTACATAGTCATGGTCTCAACTTTTCATCTTTCATACCTATTCCAAAAACTTGTTTACTATTTGTACTTTGGCTTGTGTATTTTGAAATACACAAGCTGTAAGTGATAATGTATTCAGTGTCTTTCAGGTTCAGTTTTTTTATTCTTAAAAATGTCTTCTTAGGTTACATATGATCACCTACATTTTCTTATAGCTCTTTTACCTTTTATTACATATATGTAATACTAATCCATCACCAATTCGATGCACGGTAATTTCTTTACGATGTGGACATAAAGTAAAACTTCTGATTTTTAAATGTTTTCATTATAGTTGGCTACTCTTGTCAACTTTCTTATTAGTTCTTAGCTATTCATAGATAAGGTTATTAGCTATTCAGTTTCTCTAGAGTTTTCCAGGTAAGAATTTATCTGCAATTCAGTGTAATTTACTTTTTAATAGTTCAGACTTCTCATTGCTTTTTGTTTTACTGAGAATTTCCACGACAACGTTAGGGGGAAAAAACCCAGTGGTAATGGTATGAATCCTCGTCTTGTTCATTTTTATATACCTTAGAGCGTTTGGAACGCGTTCTGACATCGAACTTCAAATTTATCGAAGAGATGAGTGATCGAAAGTTTTCTAGCGAATTAAACATATTTAATCTTCACAAATTTGGAACGTAAACACTATTGTCCCCATTTCACAGATGGAGAAATTTGGGTTCAAGAAGGTTACACAACTTTACATAAAGTCTGAGGGCTATTTTAAGAAAAATCTCTCCTTGATTCCAAGATCTTTTCCTGTTATGTGAACAGTGGCCACCAGGGTCCTAGAAGAAAGCTTGCTCTGGCATCGCTGGTCTGTTCCTTCCCTTCCCCACCTTCGAACAGAATATTAAGATTGCCAAGGTCCCAACAGGCACGGACAGCTGGGCTGGTTCTCCGCTGTAGCCAACGCCAACCCTGCGGCGAGGCGGGCTCTCACAGTACAATCTTCGTGATTCCCAGGGTTTTCTAGGCGATGGGCAGGTCAGAGTTTACAGCGTAGCTGATGGCGCCTGCCTGTCTTGGAAGCCGCCTCCCAGCCCTCAAACCGAGGGAAAGCCCAGGTTCTCCGTAGCGCGCTGGTTTGCCTGTCTTCAGGGCTGAGCAGCCTCTCAGCTCCGGTCGCCTCCTGTCTGCCCCCTGCAGGCCAGCCGGTGGGACTGCTCAGGGGACGGCCGGGGCCTGGAGCGCAGGGGGCGAAGAGCGCTGGGTCGGCTTCCGCCGTTCCACAAACTGCAGGCCGGCCTCCTCGCGGCGGAGACAGCGGGCCATGGCGCGGGTGCTGATCGTGGGCGCAGGGCTGACAGGAAGCTTGTGCGCAGCGCTGCTGAGGAGAGAGACGGCCCGTCCTCTGCACCTCACTGTGTGGGACAAGGCCGGGGACTCAGGTGGGTTGTCTAGCGGCCGAAACCGGGAAAAGGAAGCCGGCGCGGCCCCTAGCTTCGGAGGAGGCGTGGGCCCCACTAGAGACAGTCTGTGAAGAAAATCTCGCTACTCGGCTTCCAACTCAGCCCGGAAGTGGCTGGCGCGGGGCGCGCCTCGTCACGTGACCGGAGACTTCCGCCTTCCCGGAAGCGGCCTGAGAAGGGGCGAGGGTGGGGGCGGCGACCCCGGCGGGGCTGGGGGCGGGGCAGGAGTGCCGCGCATTTGTGGAGGCGAGTCCTGGTGGGCTTGGGAGGAAGCCTGAGCAGAGTTTACCAAGTTTGGGCGTCCCGCTGTCGCTAATAAATGGATTTCTGTCTTTACGTGTCTGTGCCATTGCAGCTTTCTCCAGATTATGAGGATCCCAAAATGCCCATTGACCAAGACTTTCCGAAGATCTAGTTTACCGAAACCTGTTATTCTCATGAAACCTTACTGCAAGAGTGAAAGAGCGTTCACTGATTGATTCATTCTGACATCTCATTCATCATTTTATTTTATCCATTCATTCATTCCTTTTATTCAAATTAGTAAGTATAGGTACCAGGCACAGTGCTGAACCCTGCTGCATTATTCATGATTCCTTTTTAAAAAATATCTTACAATCAGCGAACAAGTTCTCTAACTACTTCCTGATAATGTTAGATGATAAAGCCTTCAACCTGAAAAAAAATGTTCTTTAATACGTCTGTCAAGTAATACATTTGGGGTAATCTGAGGTGAATAGCATTAATCGCAAAAGGCTCATTCTAATGCACTAAGATATTTTCTTGTGGATTAATTCAAGGAGGAAGAATGATTACGGCCAGCAGTCCTCATAATTCACAGTGCACAGTCGACTTGGGTGCTCAGTACATCACGTGCACTTCTCATCATGCCAAAAAACACCAAAGGTGAGTTATTTAAAAGGGGTGGAATCAGTCTTACAAGTCATATAATGTAAAAAGATATATAATCATCCATCTTTAACATGGTTAAACTTTGCATTTTGTAACATAGTGAAATTATTGTGATATTACCATTGTTGATGGTATTTGCAGTAAAAAGTTAACCTGAGTAAAGTGGGAAAACGATAATACCTGCCTCCTGGGGTTGTTGTGAAGATCAAGATGAGATTTATTTGTAGCATAGTAAGGACTCAATAAAGATGAGTTACTACATTGGTGCTGAGGAAGAGGAAAAATAGCGGCAATGGAAGTCAATCCTAATCTAATCTAATCTAATCTAAAAATTTTTGTGGTGAATACCTTTCTGTTTATCTTTGCTGACTTTAATTTTGAAATATATGGGAGAATAGGCCTTTGGCTAATGTCAGCAAAAGATCTATGGATTCTGAAAACATTCCTGTTTTTCACCTGATTTATGTTTTATTTAACACGGAACATACTTTGAGTTGATCATATGAAGATTTCTAGTTATTTAGGATTATAATCCCTAAGCATTCTTAGAAAAGAATATAGTATTTTAGAGCTAATTATAGTATATAATTATGTTATAATATAATCATTTATTTCAGTTTTTATGATGAACTGTTAGCTCATGGTGTTTTGAAGCCTCTGACCTCTCCTATTGAAGGAATGGTGATGAAAGACGGAGAATGTAACTTTGTGGCACCTCAAGGAGTTTCTTCAATTATTAAGCATTATTTGAAAGAATCAGGTAGGAATAGAATTCCCTCTTTCTTCTTTTAAAATTAGCATTTTAAAATAAAAGTTATACACATAATTAAATATTAATACTATAAAGTTATAAAGTAAAGTAGATGTTCTTCTGTTTAACACTCAATAGCTGGTTTTCTTCCCATGAAGTAATTGCTGATATGAACCAAACGAGGTGTAGAATGGTTTATGTAAAATAATCTTGTGTGTAATATTTTTTAAAAGAATAAGTATAAACACATCTGAATAGATAAACAGAGACAGCCATATAGATCAATAGATAGATGCATAAACATTTTTCTGGAAGCAGACTTTGGCAGTTGTTATCAGTGATTAAATCATGGCATGACATTTCTGAATCTGCTTCCTTATCTATGAAAATGATTGGTATAATGTATATCAAGTGCTTGATGACTTGGCATATAGTAGGTGCTTCATGAAAGATAGCTTTGGTCATTATTATTATTAATTGTAGTAGTATTCTTTTTTTCCCAGAGAAGGCATTTATAGGGAGAGGCAAGGGTGCCAGAAGGGAGGAATTTCTACTAAATGAGAAAGAAGGTAAAGAAAGTGAACCCCAGCGGGTATAGAAGACAAACTTCGCCCTCACCATTTTATTCACCTGAGTGGATCCAGTTTGTGACTCTTCTCTTCCCCCTTATTCATATGGAAAATCCTGATTCTGTGAACGTGATTTTGCTTTTGGAACAGGTGCTGATATCTGCTTCAGACAATGTGTAACCCAGATCAACCTGAGAAATGACAAGTGGGAAGTCTCTAAGGAAACGGGCTCCCCTGAGCAGTTTGATATTGTTGTCCTCACGATGCCAGTTCCTCAGATTCTGCAGCTTCAAGGTGACATCACAAACTGTGAGTCTCAGCCTGTGCCCTTTACCTCAGGGAATGAGATTTCTTTGATAGAGCATCAATTCATTTTAACTTTCTTAGCAAAGGGTATATTACGGATTCTAGAGATTTGCATGTTTTAAAAACTGATATTATGGCCTGGTTCTTGATATTAGTCTAGGTCAAACCGAAACCTGTAGAATTTTTTTTTAAAGCAGTTAAAAGTTGAACATTGTTCTTGTTGCCCTTGCCTTTAAGAAGTAAGTATTTTTGATGGATATGCAGTTGTTGGGCCTAAAAGAAGAGCAGTCTCTTTGTGGCCATCCTGGAGAAAAGGGTTTTATGGCACAAGAATTGATTATGTGAGCCCCTGGAAAACCTCATCTTGGACTGCTCTTGAATATGAGTCTCATATTCTTCCTTGCTTGGGCCTCATTGGCTCACATTTTACCTGTCATCTTCCTCCTCCTTTTCAAAAAACAGCTTTGAGATATAATTCACATACCGTATAATTCATCTATTTAACGTGTACATTTCAGTGGTATTTAGTATTCACCTCAGTATGAGGAATTAGTTAATGTCTTCTCTCTGTGTTTTCTAGAGAACCCTAAATGCCCTTTTGTTTGATTATTAAGCATCTTCAGGCTCTGTGACAGACATCCTTTTACAAAGCCAAATATTGCCATCTAGTGGATCTGGTGTATACTGCAGTTCCCTTCAGAATTTTGAAACTAGAGAACGCTATGAAGGTGGTGGAAATATAGAATATATATAAAACTATAATATAATTCACAAAACCCCGTAACATCACAAGGAAATAAATTTAGGCCCATTATAATTAACCAACTTACCCAAAAGTGCTAGCTAATTGGTGGTAGAATGAATGCTGTGCTACAGGTCTTACATTCGTACACACTATCAGCAGCCCCGTGTCCTTGGCTTTCTTTGTGCTTTTCTTCTCATTCTTTCTCTCTGTCTTTATAGATCATGACTAACCTTTAGGATCGACAAAATAACCATCTTTTATATGAAAGACTTCCCTTTTGATTAGAGCGTCGTCTGGATTTTCCCTTAATCAACTCTCCCTATTCTGCTTTTTATAGAAGAAACAGAGCTACTTTTTTTTTTTTTTTTTGGCAATTACTTATTACATTTATTACATTCTCTCAGTTTGGAGAACAGGGAAGCTTTATGGATCGTGGTTCACGTTCTAGATCTATAACTGTGCTACTCTTTCTATATTACTCTTACAAAGATTATCTTACTTAATCCTCACAATGATCCCGAGACATTATTATTGTTACTATTATTATTGTTTCCATTCTTGGTGGTAATGCTGTGATATGAACCTTAGCAGTGTGACTCCAGAGCCCACACTCTTAACCACTGCTGTACATTGCTCTCGAGTATGTGCTTCATCTTAGACTGTCCTGTTACTGATTGTCTCATGTGGGTATGAGTTCCTATAGTGTCCTGCTCATTCTTGATCACCATGTTTTCCAAACTTGCCTACGGAAGATTGATAGTTAAAAAAATTTAAGGGGTACTTTTGAGCAGATTTTGGTTCCTAGGGTCTGGGTAGGGCCCAGGAATCTGCATCTTTAACAATTCCCCATGGGAATTTTTTCCTCCTAGTTAGGCCTGTTTGAGATGTTCTGCCCTACTATAATACTCATCAGATTTTATTGTGATCCTTATTTTTCAGTGTCTTCCCCACTAAGCCATAAAATCCATGAAGAAAGGGGTCCTATAGGCCACTCTGTCCCCACCCAGCATCAAGTACCATGTTGCATGCAGACCCACCCACCACTAGTATTGTTCAAGCAATATCTGCCAAATGAGTGTGCATCTGTTTTATTTTCCCGACTTATTTCCAACTTCTCAGAAGCCCCTGGAAGAAGATAATCTTAGAATCTACTGGTTCTGACTTGGTACCTGGTTCATAGTGCTAGGACAAAAGGGTGAACCTTGGAAGGCTCATAGAATTTTAGGACTAGAAGGAACCTTGAGGTTCACTGCTTCGTCTCCTCTGGTTTTAGAGATGTGGAATTTGAGACATAATCTGCCTTATACAAGATCACACAATTTATTAGGGGCTGGGAAGGAGATAAGATGGTTGAGAAAAAATGAGACACCTTCAAATATTATTGTCTTGATTTCATGTTTCCTACACATTTAAACTGAGCTCTTCATCAGGCTGTGCTGGAACATCTGGGCCTGAAATCCACACACTTCTATTCTCTGCCGTGGTTCTTCCATTCTCCTGCTAGGAAAGTAGTAGAGGCAGTGGAAAGGATGTGGGATTAACATTGTAAAATAAAACAGTTGAGATATGGTGAGTGATTATGAGGAATGAGGAGCATGGAAGGTCTCTTTCCCCTACACAATGCTGCCTCCTACATGGGGCTCCTCAGATTTTCTCCCACATGCTTAGATTAAAGGAATGCATGTTTTTAAGGTCTCCAGATGAATGTGTTCCCTTAATAGTTTGGTATGCTATCTCACATCCTTAAAACCAGAATGTTATTTTTTTTCTTATTAAAGAAAGAAGCAAACAAACTAGGTCTGGTGCTGGAATCTCCCTGTGAGTGTCACTCCTTCTATCCCTAGGTATACTCATATGCATTCTTGCTCCACTGAGATGAATACATAGAGATGAGAATCATATTCATCTGAGCAGAAACATGCTGGTATAGCTCCATGGGGAAAATGTGCTAGTCTTGCCCTGCCCATACCCCCGAAAACACTGCTAATTTTGGACCAAAGGCCTCAAGCTGCCAATATCATTTCTGGAAGCAGAAGAATGAAAACAAAAGTCGGGTCTGTGCAGAGCATGTGGCCACAAATCAGAAGAGTCACCAAGAGGAAAGTTGAGAGACACAAGTAGAGTCATGGCGTTAGTCTCCTTTCTTCAGGAATCCTGGTCTATTCTGGGTTCCTTGGATGAACTAGACGTTCTCTTTCTGTGCATTTGCTCACAAAGCTCCCCTTGCCTGGAATAATTTGATACCCTCTATATTCTGCCTCCTTCAGGATCCAGCACTGTGGCCTATGAGTTTTTCAGAGGCTTCTCTGATGCTTAACTTCAGGGAAAGCACTTCAGAGACTTCTTTAGCACTTGGTCGTTATGCTTCTTATTTAGCTCCTATCATTGGGTACTTTGTAGAGGGTAGTTAAGAGCATGGATTGAGAAAGCCAGGATTTGTAACTTAGCTCTGCCACTTACAGTCTGGGTGACTTCGGGCTGGTCTTCCTCTCTGAGTTTCAGTTTCCATGTTTATAAAATGAGGACAAATAACATTATCTACCACACATAGGATTATAGTGAAGATTAAATGAGGGGCCTGCCCCGTGGCCAAGTGGTTAAGTTCTTGCTCTACTTTGGCAGCCCAGGGTTTCGCTGGTTTGGATCCTGGGTGCAGACATGGCACCACTTGTCAGGCCGTGCTGAAGTGGCACCCCACATAGCGCAACCAGGGGCACTCACAACTAGAATATACAACTGTGTACTGGGAGGCTTTGGAGAAAAGAAGAAATAAAACAAGATTGGCAACAGATGTTAGCTCAGGTGCCAATCTTAAAAAAAAAAAGATTAAATGAGATCATCTGAGTAGAGGACTTTTAAGTGTGCCAGGCATATAGGAAGCACATAGCTATTATTAATACTTCCTGTAACTTTTTAATGCTTGTGACTTCTTTACCATTAAGGAAAAGGTCTAAGATGTTTGTTTAAAGAGGAGTAAGCTTGGTGTTGGGGATAAACAAAGGTAATTATTTTATTTCTAGGGTTTTACAAATAGGATACATTCCAGACATATTCATTGTTGTGAAAGAACATGACAATTACCTTGAAAACTCTAGATTAATTAACATTTTTTTTTGTAAAGCGGAGCGGGTGAACTACTTGGCCATGGGGCAGGCCCCATACATTAAATAACTTTTAATTAATGAATTCGTCACTTTTGTAAGAGAAGTTAGTCATTATCTGAGCTTTTTGCAAGTCAACAGTGACTTTTTATGAAAGCTACCTCTCTTAGAGGGAGGTACAACTTCATTCCTCCCCTGGCTTTCCTCACCCCACATCCCCAAACATGTACCTGAGTGGAGGGAGTAAACACCTTATCATAGCATCTGCTCCCACCCATGTGACCTCCTTGCACACTGTTCACAGGATCACCCATGTCTCTGAGGAAGCATCATGATGGGAATATTTCTTGTGTCCGCGTGTCCCTGACATTTTGCTAAATGCTAAGTCAAGTAAATTGAGAAGATGCAATGCCCATTCGATAGGTGTTCTCATGAAGCTGTGCATGTGGGCAGAAAATTAACAGATGAGCTTTACTTCTGGCAGGTGTAAAAGTGATGTGTTAGGGGAAACTGATGTGAAAGCATGCTTATAAGATGATGTGGTCTGAGCTCTTGGGTGCGTTAGGAAATGGGTAGGAGTCTCTGTAGACTATTCATATTTATCAGTCAAATGTGTGCCTAAAAAAAGGCAGCTGGAAAAGCCTGGATGTCAATAGAAAGGATATTGGAGATACAATGGGAAACATTATTTGCCCTTGTGCAAAACAATGATGTATTTTTACCCAGAATACTGTGTGGTCACCTTGAGTTAGAGTGTACAACACTAGGGTGCAAGGAACGTCTGTTCTTTTAATCCTCTAAATTGACAAATTATCTTCTCTGAGCATCTTTCCACCTACTTGATGGGAAACCCAACATCAGTCATCATTACAGCTTCTTCTCTTCCCTTTGGGATCACACAGGAATCTCAGGCTTTTGTAGTGCCAGAAAACTGGGGAGGCATTGGGTCTCAGGCCATAAGGTTGTCATCATTACTGCTGCTCTTCTGCTTTGCAGGGCTTGGGCCCAGCCTTAGTCCTCTGACATCGGTTAGACATGTTGCCTTGTGTGGACTCAGGGATGCCTCTCATGGAAAACATTGTACTGACACTGAGATCTTTCCACGGCTCTCTAGGCTGAGAGGCATGCTCCACAGGCATTCTGCAGAAAGATCCCAC